CGATATTGTCATCCCTGCAGGTGTCAATACATTTGTCACGGGCAGAGGCGACTGGCGTTACCTACCATGGGGGTCGACCATTGTGAAGAATCTCGATCTTTGCTGCATCATTCAACGAAGGGACGCTGTCGGTGCTTGGTGAGGTAGGAGGAGGAGAAACCGCTGGAACGAGGAAAGAGGCCGCAATGGCCTGAGAGTCGTATTGACTCCATTGCCTTGATGGCGTGTGTGCGGTGTTGGGCTGGCAGTCATAGCGGCAAGGGGGCAATCCCTTCGTCCACCCCCCCCCCCCCCGGGGGCCCATCAGCGAAGTGTCGACCATCTGAAGCAAGATTGTCAAGCAATACATGGACGTCGAGCGTCGTGCACACGTGACGTTGCCGACCTGACTGGCCTCCGCGCTGCCCGCATGTGGGAGGAGTGGCTGGTCTCAAGGTGCGGACGGAGCCGGTGGCTCGAGGGGGTGGACGAGGTGATTTGAAGAGGGCAAGGAGCACGGCTCCGGGTGGAAAGTGCTGTCGCTGAGGTCTCTGAGAAGGAGAGGAGGGAGGGAGCTGCGTCAAGTGCAGGAGAAGTCGGTGGGCAGCCCATCCTGACAGAAGAAGAGGTGCTGGAGGTCGTATCTGAGAAGGAAAAGAGGGGGAGAGCTGCGTCAAGTGCAAGAGAAATCGGGTGGGCAGGCCCATTCAAACAGTGGAAGAGGTGCTGGAGGGCATATCATCCCGATATCTTGCAGCCAACTTGATGTGAGTGGAGTGAGGCTGCGTCGAGGATGGGAGTGCAGAGAGAAAAGACAAAACAGAATGTGCGAGGAAAGGAGGAAAGGAAAGGAGGCTGTGCCTAGACGTCCTGGACACGTGCATGCTGGGCACGTGTACACGTGGATGCTATGCAAACTGCGCAGGCAGGGTGCGCAGACAGACTGCGCTGCTTGGTGACTGTGGTGCTTGCTGTCCAGCTGTTGTTCCTGTGCAGTCGGTGTTCGCTGTGCATCCATTGTCCCTGTCCAGCTTTGTTTGCTATTGAGGCTGTTGATCCTATGCAGCTTTGTTTGCTACGCAGCCTTGTTTGCTACGCCGTTCATTCCTGGGCTCGCTGTGCGGCCATTGTTCCTGGGAAGCTTTGTTTGCTGTCCAGCTGTCCGTTCCTGTCCAGCTACTGTCCCTATGCATCTGTGCAGTTCGATTCCCTCTCTGCGTCCATACCGAGTCAATCGAGAAAGGTATGAGCACCATCTTTCCACAAGACACACTCGGTAGCAGCAGCCCTCTCGATGCCCACCCACTCTTCCAGTAAATCGCATTAATATCGCCTACAGCAGGGCTCGTTACGGCTTTTACATCGTTAGCAGTTCTCAGACTCTATCTAAAGTACCTAGGTGGAGAGAAGTCATCAACGCACTCAGTGGGAAGATTGGGGGCTCGATCATGGCTCAGTGCCACGTACATCCCGACCATCGCCATCTCGTTAAGCTGCCACATAAGAGGGAGCGCAGAGTCTTGTAAGCACTAGTACTAAGTTTCCCGTAGTAAATAGCGATGACCGCCCGGCCAGATCCTCGACCCAGTCCATGGCACCCAGGTGCTCGACGCAGGAGCTGGCCACGGCCTTCAACCCACCCTTGTCCCTTTCCAGAATTGAGGGGGCTGAACACGTGCGATAAGTACGACAAAAGCTGAGGGAGGGAGCACAGACTCTTCGTGAAACTCTCCAAGTGCGAGTTCAGCGTCGAGGAGTTGACTTCCTTAGGTTCAGTCTAAGGACAAAATGGCAGTGGATGGCGTTGGACAACACTTCAACCTACCAGCAATAGAATACGTTTGTCACAAGATACATCTTGGCCTTGTGGTACCAGGAAGAAAGAGAATATCCTCTGACTAGCCGAGCCAGCGAATTGGATGTTTTGGTGCTCAAATCGATGTGCTTAGGGAATTGGAGAGTCAGCAGTGCAATACGGAATGCGAGTATCGGTCCGGACCAGCGGCGTCCTCGACTTGAATTCTGCGATAGGGACGCGGAGCAGTTTCTCCACGTACTTGGACAACAAGACGACAGATGGCGTTCGCAGAGGCATCGCAGATGCTTCCACTGTCCTCGGCTTGGCCAACGAGGGTCGAGGCTGGCCCTTGGGCTCTACTAAAAGACGGACGACTCCAGGTTGTCACGATCACCTTGGATCTGCGGGTGAGAAGTCGACGGGAATTGAAGACCCAAAAGCATCGGAACTCTCCTCGTCCTGCGCTAAATGCTGAGATTTCTAGCTGAGCCTCCTTTTCGCGCCCACCTCCAACCTCGCCCTCACCCGGACCCTCGTTTACCATTGCGCGACCGTCGATGTCGGAATCAACGCAACGTTGCGGGCGAGACTGACGGCATTCGAGCAAATTTGATGGGAGATGATGCAGATAAGTTTGCTGATTGGCACTTTGGTCGCGTCTGCGCAGCAATTGCGGTCGTATCTTTGGTATCTTGTCTACCGGCGAAGACCCACGATCGAAGTCATCTACATCGAGGGGGTCAGCGAAAACGTCTCCAAACGGTGCCTGGTATTTGAGAAGAAGAAGAAGAACACGATAATTATCGCAAGGGCATGTTCAAGGCTTCCTTATACGTGACCACAGCTTGTATGACATGGTACAGTGAGACATTCCAATCTGTCTCAACCATTTTCTAAATACCAGATCTCCGCCCACCAGACCTTCTTCCTCTTGAGCCTCAATCCTAGATCCCTCGGCAACATGTGCATGTCCAAAGAAGAGTGGAAGGAACGCTCAGGATTTTAGACATTGTACGATGCCCTGCCGTTCAGACAATACTCAGACAAGCTGCCCTACCACGAGCGATACTTGTTTCGATCCTGGCTCCATCGTTGCTCGTTACGAGAGGAGTTGAGCACTAGCTTTCCCCCTTTGGAGGGCCATTGAGGCCGCCGCCGGCCGAAAACTCTTTGTGCATCAGCATCTGCGGTCTGGCCCATCAGAAACCGCGCACGAATACTACGGACATTCACTAGATCATAACCTCCCTGAAATCCAGAAGATAAGAGCTAGGGCATCTCCTCGTTACTATCTCCTATAACGCCAGAATCAACATTCTCGTTATCGGCGGTGAAATCATCCATAGGAAAGCCCCTCTCCAAGTCGCTAGGCGACTCTTTCAAACGTCAATTGAAGATAGATGGAGGCCTCGGTTCGGTGACTTTCATTTGCAGCAGGACGGACGAAGTCTACATTGCTTATCGGCATCACAGATCACCCTGAGACGGTTGTGAGACGACGTAGCGGAGAGCTTATGCAAATTAAGATTTTGGAGAACACAAGTGGGAATGGGAACGAGGAGGACGACAGGATTGTGGTGACAGACATATTTGTGGTGACAGACATGTTGAGCAATTTCCTCAGCTGAAAGATTGAGCTTCGTCAAAGGCGACCCATCATCGCCCATGACTCCCCGGACCACGACTTCCTACGAGACCTGTTCACGCAAGAGCTTCAAATCACTGGTGAGGTGCTCTTTCGCTCTGTGTTTCAGCAAGTTCTCTTTCGAAGTACTCGACGGCTCCCAATTCATCCGCTTTTGTATAGAATCCTTCTAGCAAGAATCCAGCGGTCCTTCCATCTTCCTCGGTTGCATCTTATCGAAGTGCCAGGATCCCCCGTCCACAACGTCATCTGAAATGGTGTCAATCTATTGCCATGGGACACAAAGTCCTGTGAACGTACAAGTTCCATAACTTCCGGCATTGCCAATCACGACCACGTTGAATGTATCACCATCACTACCCGCGACACCGCCGTGTATGCTGCACCGCGAGTGAGGCGCCGTGCAAGATTCTCGGTTTCCACCGTCTTCATCCTCCACCACTGGACATAGTTAGATGTTCGAGCCGGCTTCGGACAACCACTTGCACTTGCGCTTGTATCGTTTGAGGAGACTGCCCTGGAGAACATGCAGGGCTATTCCACAGTGGATAAAAAATGGTTTATCCCGTGGATAAGGCGCTCTCCCCTCTTCCTGGCACGATCGTTTCGCACACTCTTCAGATGTCAGTGAATGAAGTGGAAAAAACGACCTCACGTACGGGCACCCGGTCTCGGGCACGTAGGTCAGCGCGGGCGACATCGCGTGGAAGGCACCGCACAACCGCTCGATCAGAACCGAGTATCTGACCGCCATCGTGGTGGTGGTCGCGATACACTGAGAGTCCGTGGTCGCCGAGTCGTAGACGATCCCCGCCGTGATCTTGTTGATGGCAAGCCCAAAGTCTTCGACCTTCGCCAGGATTGTTGGATGGCCCGGTTTGTCGGAGATGAGAACATTAGAAGGGTTGATGTCTCTGCGTGCCATGTTGCATTTGACGTGGATACTTGAGGCCAATGCAAAAGGACAGACGCGCACATATTGTCTCTTGATGTTGTTGTACGCGAATCCGTCGCCGATCTTGCACTCGTCGCCGATGAGAATCCTCTCCTGGCACAGGTACATCACCAGGTCCGCGTCCGGCCACTTGCTCGAGGCCCCGAACAGGTCGTCGATCGTCCACTCGACCGCGTCCGTGAGAATCCTCGTCACCGACTTGGCCAACTCGGTCGTGCCCTCATGCCCGTACCTGCCGTAGAACACGATGACGGAGGGAGATGTGACCTTGTCTATCAGCACCTTGCCGACCTTCCACATGAAGTCGAGCTTCTGGTCACTCCTGAGCGGGGCCGGGATGGTGTTCATGATCTTGTCGTACTCCGGCCCCCTGCCCGGATTCTTGATCACGAGCGGGTGCTGTTTGTAGTGCATGCTCGGGTGGTCGGGCCAGTAGTCGATCCAGAACATCAACCTGTCCGTGCCGATGCAGATGCTCGGGGCCACGCGTGAGATCTGGTAGGCGACCCTCTTCGAGATCGCATACGTCTCTTTCAGTGCCCTCGAGTAGTTGACCGGGGCGTTGATCCTGGTCATCTTCAGCAACTCCCCCGAGGTGACCTCCGAGTACAGCTGCGCCCACAATGCCACGCTCCTGTAGTAGATGTTCCGTCCGTGACCAAGCACCTCCTCCCCACCACCTCGTTGATGAAGGCCCTGTGCTCGGGGTCGAGGTCGAGCGTCAAGCAAGCCCGGGGCGCAAGGGGAAGTCGTCCCTCACCCAGACCACATCCCCGTCGTCGACCATGTTGGTGGTGGTTACGTCGTTCGTGTACATGATTACATCCCGCGGCTCGCGCGTATCCGTGCTGGACTTCGAGTCCGTCTCTGCCTCCAGATGTCTGGCTACACGTGAACCCGAACGTCCCAAAGTCATGGACACCGGCGAGATCTGCTTGACCACATACCTCTACCTCTATCCCATTTTCCACGGATGCGTCTTCCCATCCAGAGACACCTCGCACGTATCCGGGTACAGCGAGGTGTTTACGATGCCGGTCGCATGCATCAACAGGGACCTGAGCATGAAGATGATCATGAACAGGCTCAGCAACGCGGACACGATCAAGTGGACGGAGGCGGAGCGGTACATCATCTCGTCCTGGATCGACGATGTGATCAAGCTTGACGAGGAAGGTCCGTGGACCATGAACATCTCGTTCAGGATGGGAAGAGGTCACGAGCGGATCATCGTGTGCGCGAACATCAAGATCGACAAGCCCACGCGTGCGTTGCCGAACACGGACGCGGACCATCCCAAGAGCGTGGCCAAGTTGATACCCGTGCCCGCGAGCGAGATCTGGCAGTTGAGGTTAGCAGCAGCGGCGCTCGGTCTGGGGTCGGGCGGGGGGTTGTAGCCACCATATACATTAGCCAAGGTGCATGGGTCACCCACATGAAACTCCTATACTATACCTTGTACGCCGGGTGCGTCTCCAGAACGTGCTTGAGCAGCTCGCCCGTCGCCGACTGCCCGCCTTCGGCCATCCAGTAGTTCGGAATCACTGCGTCCCTGTCGTGTCCCAAACTCCAGAGCTACCCAGGCACCCAACACGTACCAGGGTAATGTTATGTACAGCTTGGAAGGACACGCCATCGATGTATGAATCTGATCTGCGCAACTCCTCGGACCCGTTCGGCATTCGACCCTGATCGGCCTGCGCGACTAGTGTGAGACTGATGAACGAAAGGTACAATGGAAAAAAAGTTGCAAAAGTCACAAAGTTGGATTATCAAACACCACTAGACGGCAGTCCTCGCTATCTCGCTCTGGGAGCACTGCCACAGTTTACGTGGTTACGGAGGGTTGTAAGCACCCATTGGGCATTGCCCCGCCACTCCTAGGCCACTCTCCTGGCCGAGATAAAGATGGCGCTATCGTCTTCGTCATCATCGTCATCGTCCTCGTTGTCCTCGTCGTCGTCCTCGTCGTCATCGTCGTCTTCTTGATGAGTTTGGGCCTCTCGCGCCCGCTTGTCTTCGAAGGTATCGAGGAGCATCTCGTCCTCGTCCTCCTCTTCTCCAGTCGCCGAATTCCCCTCGGCTGCGGCCGCGCTGCCGCCCTCGCTCTCGGAGCACTCCCACGGTTTACGTGGTTATGGAGGGTTGTAATCACCCATTGGGCATTGCCCCGCAACTCCTAGGCCACCCTCCTCTAGATCTCGAGGATCATGCTGTCGTCGTCTTCGTCGTCATCGTCGTCATCGTCTTCGTCTTCGTCTTCATCCTCCTCCTCCTCGTCGTCATCCTCGTCCTCGTCATCCTCGTCGTCTTCTTGGTTGTTCAGGGCCTCTTGCGCCCGCTTGTCAAAGGTATCGAGCAACATCTCGTCCTCGTCCTCGTTCTCCAATTGTGGATTTTGAGCCCGAAGGCCAGCCTCAACGGCTTCTAGCCAACGGAGTATTCGCTCCTCCAGAGCCTCCGCCCTTAAAGTTGTCTCATGGGCTTCGAGGAGCATCTCTTCGCTCTCGTGCCCTGGTTCTGAATTTTCAGCCCGAAGGCTATGCGTTGGATATGGTATTCTTAAAGAGTGCGCGTGATCCATCGAGTTTGTCCTATTGCGGGTGAAGTGGTCCCCCTCCACAACCCTCTTGCTTCTTGTTGAGCAAAGACGGCCTTATGGCCACGAATACAAGACGGTGCCGCCAGGAGTGCTTCCGACGGCAGAAGGATGTGAGGGAGGCGGAGGCGGAGGTGGAGGCGAGGGAGAGGGAGATTAATGTTGATGAGATGGAGCGGGAGATTGATGTTGATGAGAGTGAGGTTGCATGACTGGTGTAAAGGAACGGCATGGGCCAGGCCAAACGGAGGCAGGAGGAAGGATGTGAGGATGGCCAGACATGGCTGTGAACAAGGTGTGTTTGTGCGAAGGAGCGTCGAGAAGGTTGCTTGGTCAATCTCGAGGTTTATGCAGCAGGGAGTGGTGAGCCTCGTCGTGTCGGTTGTGCGACACCAGGAGCGCTGTGATGGTGGTGTCTTGGCGCACGATCACGTGCACACGCAGTAGTGGAGACACGTGCCGCCGCTCGCGACGAGGCTGGCGACTGACTGCGCGGCAACCATGATATCTAAATCGACCAAGCAACCTTCCAGACACTCCTTCGTACTAAAATTCTATCAATTCAATTCCCACGACTCTATTGATCTATCTCTTGGTCACCCTGGAGCAAGCTCGAGGAAGTCCTTCGCATTCGCTGAAGATGTAGTTTCCTCTGTTCAGCAGCACGTGCTTCCGCTCTTCTTCTTCACTCTTGATGATGAGCCGCTTTCCCTTGTTGACACAGAAGAAGAAGGCGACCTGTGTGCAGACTCAGGGTGGGGGGATTGGGAGGCAGTGAGGAAGCCGCGCGAAGGGGTCAACGGCCGCCATCTTCACATCCAGCATGGCACCCTGCTAGCCGCCATGCTACTGCGCCGACCTTTGTATGCGTATGCCAGGATCCGGCTCTCTATCTATGGCTTAATAGTAGCTCTTAGTCTCGGCGCCGCCGGCATTAACATAGGCACTCCTTTCTGTGCACGGTCGAGGCTCCATGTCCACCTGCATACTAAGCTCGGGTTCACTCTGAGTGCAATCAGAGTGGGGGGGAGGTTGATGGGGAGACCTAAGTTAAAGAGGTAATCGTCCATAAAGTCAGCTATCTTCTTGAATTTCACAAAGATCAAGGGTCGTGAAGGCGGCATGGAGATCAGCAAGTCGTACCAAGTTTGGCTGATGTCAAGATCTGGGTTGCAAACTACCGTCTGCGTCGGCTCTCTCAAGCCTGCGCAGAGCACCCCACAGGTAGGGAGGAGACAATCCGCCTGCTCGAAGTCTAGAACAGGAGAGATCGCTGTTAAGGGTGGCAATTATGATATGAATTCTGAGACGAAAGAGTCTCACTAGTGTTGTAGTAACCGCACGAAAGATAAATGTACCGCCAGCCTCGTGTGGGGTAGTCCCACCAGGTCAGGCGCGCAGGGTTGCGCCATGATACTTATTTTGACCCTTTTTGGTTCCCTTTTTGGTCATGTTCCCACACCTTTTTGTAATCCCCTTAGTAATCCCGAAAGCAGCCTCACCACTAAGAAAGAAGTTGGAGGGAAAGATAATGTCCCTCGTCCGTCAGAACTAATCCTCGCGGAATCGATTCGGGGAATTGAGTCGGATCAAAGACGAATAACACGCTGCCGGGCGACGATCGCCGGCACCAGCGGCGAGACCAAGGCTAGAGCACTCGAAACGTAGGCACGGTCCTGTTAGCGATGGTAGAGCTCATCATAGCATACCGGTAGTACCAGAGGAATAGGGAGATTAGGACGCGGACGCGGCTCCGGGCTTAGGGCGGGTGTTGGGGCAGGATTATGATAGGGCTCGCAGTCCGCGTCGGCGACGGTGCTGGGAATGATAGGTACCTTTTGCTATTGTTACATAGGTTAGCGAGTAGCTGGGGAACAAACGGATAGAGATTGACTTTTTTTTCTGACTCTATCGAACAGGGTAGGTTCCAAGACGGACGCTTACTATTGTGACTACGGATTGCGCAGGAGCGGGAGGTGTCGGGCGCCGAATGGGAACGGAATCTGGACACAGTGCCGGCGGCGGGGATAAGTACCACACGGTAGTAGTGGACTAGTTCGCGGGCATGGGAGTGGACGGGTTGTTGGCGAGGATGAAGGCATAGCTATGTATAATCAATCCTATTTAGATCTGTTTTAGTAAACCAGACGAGGGCGAAGAGGCTGTCCTTCCCTATATACGGGCCACTGTGAGCCAGCCTCACGCCCTCACTTACCCTTCTTCTTCCATGAAGTATCCCCCCCCCTCTCTTTTTGGCTTAGGATGTTCTCTTCACCTATATGGCGCCCGGTCACAGCGTGGGAGAGAGACATGGAGGATGGCGGTCAAGCAGCAAAGGGCAAAGTGCAGATGTCAAACCTTGTTAGCACTACGCTTGACAGCGGCAGAGCAGGTGTCAAACCTCAGTAGATTGGGTAGCTTCCTGCGCCTGACAGCGGGAGAGTAAGGCAAGGTTGAGGTCGAGCCCATGGAGGGCGAAAGATTGGGCGAGGCGTTCGACCCTGAAAACCCATGGTGGCTGGTCCGCCGACTGCCGATGCAATCCCGCGTAATCAAGTACGAGGCTGGGGTAGTCTGTGCTCAGAATCATCGGCGAGGAGCATCTCCCCGTAGGTTCAGTTTCTCGACCTCTGTTTTCTTCCCATCTATCCCCCTGGGCATTGACTGTGCTACCACTGACGACGCTACCACCCCTCACTGCGAATCTGCAATCTTCAATCGTGTAAACACTTACACCCTATCCACTTATGAATTCTCCAAGCTTGCGAATCTCCAATCTTACACACACCTACACACTTGCACACCAACGATAATTACGGCACTCCTAGCCTGGTTGGGCAGCCTCTTCTGTCCCGACGTCCTGTCCCCTGGAGTCCTGGTTGACGCATTCCTGGCCTGGTTGGGCAGCTTCCAACGTCTGTCTTATCTCTTGGAGTCCTTTGGCCGAAGCTGGCAGCGCTGGCACTCTCTCTACCTTCTCACTCAAGGCTGTTCTGGCTGCTCACTCTGCTCTGCGCTACTCTGGCTACCCCGGGCCGCTCCGGGCTGGGCTGCTCTGCTCTGCCTGCTCTGCGCTATCCCCATCCCATTTACAACTTTCTTCCTACCCTCCATGGTCCATTAGGCCGCTACAGTAAGCCTAAATCATCATGGCCGCCAAAGCAGCTCCCTTACTATCAAATACCTCCCCCCCCACAACCCAACCAACAAAACGCCCTTCCCGAGACGCACCCCGTAACAAGCACGGCCAAGTGTACTGCACTCACAGCAACTGTCACAATGTGACTTTCCGCAGCGTTTACGAGTGGAATATCCACATGGATAGACACGACCGCCCCTACAAATGCCAGGAGAACCAGTGTAGCCGTATCCCAGGATTTACATACCGCGGCGGACTGGCCAGGCATCAACGGGAAGTACACAAGATACGCATATCGACCAGATCGACCATGGAACCCTTCCTTTGTCCATTCCCAGATTGCGATCGCAGTCACGGCAAGGGTTTCACGCGAAAGGAGAACCTCGAAACGCACAAGCGGAGGAGGCACTTGGGGCCGCGGTCGACCGACAATCGATCACAGCTGGAATCGCCATCAGCTTCTCCGTCGACGTCGACACTTTCAGCAGGACTTCAAGTTGATGAATCAATGGTAGAAGAAGGTCGACTGTGGCTACAGGCGCATACTCAGTTTTGGTATGCCCAACTTCGTCAAAGGGACGAATACATTCGAGAATTGGAGGCGAGGCTGGCGACTTTTGCTCCGCTGCACGCGGTCCGGGCTCCTCCAGAAGATCCAACGTCAGGCCCAGGGCCCTTCTTGCCTGTCCAGTGCCTACCGAGTGCCTGGGAGTGCCTGGGGGTGCCTGGGACTGCCTGGGAGTGCCCAAGTTAAAGTTCTGGGGGTGCCTGAGCCCTAAGACCAAGTGCCCTTCTTGCCTACGGAGTGCTGAGACTACATGGGGTAGAGAAACTGAACCTACGGGGGGGGATGGCTCCTCGCTGACCTTTTTCAGCGTGGACCACCACCGACCTCGTATTTGATTATGTGGGGTTGCAGCGGCGCCAGCCACCATGTGGAGTATGAAGCATTTTCTAGTCAATCAGCGAGTGGCATTCGGACAAGACGGCATCTTGGACGAAGAAATGGTTTCTGGGGTGCTTGGCGTAGGCACTAGGATCCTGGGCGTTTGCATGTGATTCTGGGCGTCAGCACTGGCTGCGCTGAGTGCCAGAGGGAACGCTGAGTGAAAAATCTGGGGGTGTCTGTCGAGTGCCTGAGTGCTGAGACCAAGTGCCCTCTACCCTCTGCCCTCTACCCTCTGCCCTCTACCCTCTGCCCTCTACCCTCTGGTCTGCGAGTGTCGACTGGGACTGCCTTCTCCCTCTCCACTGACTGCGCTGGACTGCCCTCGAGTGTGTTTGATAATCAAACTTTTGGACTTTGCGACCCAAACACACTTTTCTTGCTCCCCTCGTTGGCAAATCGCACAAGCAGTGATTGTTCCAAGCCTGAACTAGGCGGCAGTTTTCAAGTTCGTCACAACACGTTCCAAATTCGAGGGTCTGGATCAGGTCGGTGGTAAGTTCCCTACAAAGCTCGAACTAGAACTGTAAGAGCACAAATCTTTCTTCCCGTTTCTTCACGTCCACTAGACCTTCAAAGAATATGAAAGGCTGTCGGTAAACGACCGTGAGCTGGAGATTGTCGCATATTGCGCCGCACCATCTTTAAGCCCAGCTATATTATGGGCATCTAGACGTTGTATCTTTCCTACGCCAATTCAGCCTGACGTTCTTATTGCCCACCGACTCCAATGCTTTGACTTTATAAACTTCTGTGCCTCTCCCAACGATCATTCAAAGACTGAGAAAGTCGACATGGGCTGTACTCACTGTCATTATCGTAGCGATTCAAACATTTTGAATTGGTGGGCTGGAGCAGGCATTCCGGGCGAGGACAGGGCATGGAGCTGGCCCCAATCTACAATCTCGTTGGCGTTAACGACCAGCGTTAGAAAGCAAATCTACCAGGAGAAAGTTCCATCCTCCTTTGACATTGTCTTCTTGTCCAAACTGATCTCGATCATTAATGAAGTGGAATATGGAGACCACTGTTGCGGTGATCAAGCCTAGCATTCTCGCCCTCGACTTGAGGAGTTGCCAGAATGTCGAAGACTTAGTTTCCGCCATGAAAGTCTTCAAATCAATTCGGAACGACATAGAGATGGAGGCTCGAGTGCCATCAGGCCACAGGGTACGTTTTTGAAGAGCCCAGTAGACTTCCTTTGAGCTGTGCGATATGGTTCGCTAAGTGCGTCTTCTCGTCGATGATGGCGGTAATTGGGAGACAGTTGAAGCAGTCGGTGAATGCCATCCACAACCTTCTACCAGCTCCAACCAACCTTGAGGGAGATCCGATCCACTACCGCTAATACTGTAGTGGAAGCCTTCATCCAAATACATTGGACGACGAAGACGACGTAGATGAGAACTCCCAAGCCACCAAGGCCGACACCCATGAACCAGCCACCGCGAACGCCAGCGAGAGGATCAAGTCCACGATTGTTGAAGGTCATTGAGATTAACCCGATGTTGCTGGGGACTATGGCTGGTGGAGCTGCCGTAAGTTCGACACAGAACAATTTCTCCTCTAATCTCACCAAGCACTAGGACTTTTGCGGATCAATCGACAATTCCGGAACCCGCATTGCTAAAGCAGGAGTCTTCAAAAAACACGTCTTTGATTCCGCAGAGGACGAAGGAGTTGTACAATGCCCCCGGGAAGAGGCCCGCTTCAAAGAGACAAAAATACCTTGACTTATTCGTCTGCCAAATGAGTCCAGAAGCGGGAGCTTCCAGCGCTGTTCCCGTGGCCACATTCGAGTTTACGTTGCAGCAACCCCATCACTAGACTCCGGTTGCTGCAGATCATCATTTTCGGCTTCTTCGTTGCCGTCGCCATGGTCTTTCATCTTCGGTTGTGCAAGCGGCTCTAGGTCTCCTCGTCCTCTTCTTTTCCCTTCATGATGGACAATGATATCGTCGCCGAGAACACGGCCAAGACGGCGTCAGACACGACAATCTAAGAGATTTTCCGATACTAAAGCCTAACATAGCACCACTCTCGATCCAGTCCACCCATCTATCTCTTTCGTTTCTTTCTTTTCGTCCCCTCATTCTTTCCAACTCAACAACTACTTGTTTGCACCTCACGCTCCCTCTGTCGCAATCTCGCCCATGGCCTCTTTACCCGATACCTCTGGCGGGGCGCTTCCGAGATTCTGCCAATTATGAAAACATGGACAGAAGTCTACACGGCACATTTGTCCACACCGCTGGTGCGTATCTGGCCAACATTGCCACGGGGATTGCCGCCGACAAGCTGCATATTGAAATTCAATAACTTGAACCACTCGCATTGCCTCCTCCAGGCTGGAAGCGGATGCTGTATGTTGCACTGTGTCGTCTTTCCGCGAGGGGACAACATTTTATTCCTTCTGATAGAGCCCTCTTGACGTCGATCGGTGACTGTGGCCGGCGCTCGATTAGAACTAATCTCCGTCGAGTAGCTTCAAGCAATCCTTTCTGGGACAGCTCAGTGTCAAGGCCTTCGATTTCGCGAGGGAAGAAGTCCAAACATTCGTAGAATATTTCTAAACCGGAAAAGCCCGCTGATGCTGCTCGTTGGATCTTTGTGGGCAGACTGTGGCTGGCCGACGCCCGACGGAGAGATATCGTAGCAATTGCATTATATACACAACATGGCTGTCCAGGAGGATGACGATACCTCAGAGCGGAGAATGCATCGCTCGAGAGCAGTCCGACTGCGTCTGTATGAAGATGTCGATCCGCAAACCGGAAAATGCTCAGGAGGATATGCACTTGTGGCGATTTTGTCTCCGAGATGACAAATCTTCGGAGTAATACTAATACGCTGAGCCAGAAGCATAATTCTGCTCTTCCGCCGGGTATGTTAGATGCAAATACCAGTAGCACGGGTTGCATGTAGGTGTTCTCGGGCGAGCTTGTGCTTATGCCAGGCCTGATCGTCAGAAACGAACTGCTAGTGCTAGGCGTTCGTGCTACTTGTATCCACAGGTCTAGCGAGTCTACGCTCAAGCATTCTTCCAGCGTTGTTTTCGTCTTTGTCAATTTCTCATCTATCATACAGACATCTTCCAGTTGTTGGCGTGCTGAACAGCTGGTGCTGCCCTAACTCGAAACCCCCACCCATACTCAAATGCCCACTGTATCGCAGACAAAGGAAGCCCTAATCAACACCTCGCCGGCTGCATGATTGAGGCCCGAGGCTCACTATAGGTAAGGGGATAGGAATTTTCATGGTCAATCACCCAAACGAGGAACAACTGCCCGCATTATTCCCGCTATCATGTGTGGGTACATGGGGTGTAGGTAAAGTTGATCGTCGGGCGTGAGAGCTCCCACCAAACCGCAAGTGGGTTGTTGGACCGCAATGATTAGTTATCTATTTGTGTTGGGTCAAGTGCCCATGGCAGTAGAAACTGATGTCGAGGATTCGAAAGGACAATGGGGGTTGTTACTCCCATGGTTCATCTTCACAACGAAATAAACGACCATCAGGCGTACTAGATCATTGTCGGCGTTGAGTTTCAGAGGCCGGAGGCTCTCAGAAGTCCCGAGCTAAGACCTTAAACGATCGTTCGTTCAGTGACGGCCACCTCACCCGGAATGTACGTCGAGACATGACAGCTGTTTGAAGTGCCCGGTCAAAAACAGAGAATGCTCCAAAGAGACAGGTCAATCGCCGAAATCTGCTGTATCGTGAGTCTGGTCTGCGTTTAAGGACTGCGACGGGCACTGCCATTGGCGCGCTCAGCATGGCTTGCATGGAATCCCGGAGTTTGAGACGACAGAGCAAGACTCTTAGAAAGAGACGTTATGGGGACGCGGAGTGACTGATCTGCGGTTGGTTCAACGTCTACAAAGGAGCTAAATGCGGACGGCCAGGGCCAACAAGAAGGTGCCGGCATCCGGTACTGGGGTCTGGGCCTGTGCACCTTGCACCGCTTGGGGTACGGGTGAATATCTTCCACCTTTCGAGTCGTTGGCCCAACCGAGAATGGCTCTATGTTGCGATAGTTCTTCGCTCTAGTTGGGAAGAGATAGTGGTAGCATTGGCTCCTTTTCTTGTGGCACGTTCGAGTAAGCGAAGCTTTTCTCCATGAATAGTGTGGATTGGTATTTGACTGTATACGTCTTGACGAGACGGATTTGTTGACCTTGAAGGGGTACGGATTACTAGTTAATGCGGACGAGTGAGAATGTACCCCAACGCGAAGAAGAAAAAAGAGAATTTGATGATTGTTATTCAATTTTGGAAATTGAAAGGCAACCTCAAATGGGGTAGAGATATCGACCATTTCTACGGTCGAGGCACGTAGCTTCGTATTGGGATCATCCTCTGGTCTGACATCGTGTCCGGTTATAAGGTCACACGGGACGGCCTTCGCTTTGAGCCAACCCAGACGTAGCTGCACTTGCCACCAAGGTTTGCTTGATCTGGGTTCACGCTCTCGTCACCGGTGGAAATCAAGGCATAGGGTGCGAAGCCACCTGCCAACAGGAATGGGACAAAATGGTTGCGACCGCAAGATCCCTATTGACGCAACAGATGCTTGCGAACCCCACAGTTCTCAACGGATTTCTCCTTTAGACGGTGATGCATAAGGCGAATTTGGCATGGACAGCCGGACATTCGATGTCGAAAGGTCTTGCCGTACCGAGCAAAGTTACATGTGGATCGTTTCCCATATCTTGGTCGAGACGCTCAGTTTCGGCGACCGTATCGAGCACCCACAAGCTTGCGTTTCGTATAGTGCCGACCAATGTTGTTTCGAGGTTGCATGTTGCAGCTCCATAGAGTCCAGAAAGTCATGTGCACGGAGGAGGAAATGATACACTGTCATCAAAATCCGGTCGAGCCAATGGAACCATTGAAGTCGCCGACCGAATCGCATCTGGTTGGAGAGAGAGCTGGCAGCGGTTCTGATGGCCCAACAACCTCTTGTTCACGACCGACGCCTTCCCGGATGAGCGGCGGCAACAGTGGACTGATCGGGCTGCAACAGTTCATGATGATGTTGATGATGCATGCTGTCCCAGATCTGAGAGTCGTTACCCGCTCCTCTATTTCCCCGGAACGCTCCCCAGCGACTGGCTGCGGTGCTGAAGGAGCTAGCGGGGTTGCACGGCACCGAAACCCATAACAAGCCTCGGAGCCTCGGACAGAAGAGTGGGCCGAAAAGAAAAAGTCGCTATTTCCATTCCTGAAGAGGTGGAGTATTGGCCGAAACAGAGCTTGAAGCTTTTTCAGAACTGCTTGGTGCTCAGTCCCATCTACAGCGGGGTATAGGCTCATAGCTTGTCGTAGCTAGCGCCTAAGGCGAGTCGTCGAGGCGTTTTTCAAAGCTATGGACTTTTCTTTATCCAATTGCGGTCGTTGCGGGTGCGCGGGTTCCCTACGAAGCTACTACGACGTCTAACGCCATATATAGGAAACCCATACCGGGGCGGGGTAGAAGCATCTAACCATATCGGGAGCTCGAACGATGCCCATACGGCCTGGTGCACCTCTTTCACCCCTACGAGTCTTGCTGGTCTTCCATATCTATGTCGGGGTTGGCTAGCTGATATTCAGGAAGTATTGACATTGGCCACCGAATTCCAGGTCTGGCCGCGAATCGAGACCGCATCCTCCGCACCACACTAAGACCCCGAGGGCCTCCAGATCATCTCGTTAGTGCAAGACTTCCGGGCATTGGCGTAGAATTAGAAGGGAGGGGACATGGCAGGGGCCATCGGGCTGCTGTTCAGCCTCGGCCTCTGAAAAGAGCGCAGCATGCATTAACCGTCCGTAAGCGCAAAAGGCGATTTATGCCAAACTAAGGATCGGGCGCAAGGAACTGCTTTTGTTGAGCCAAGATAAGGAGGCAGAAGGAATTGTACATTGCAGGAGACTTTGATTGGACCTGGCCGACGCCAAAAAGCGCCAATAGATTGCCCATATACTGTTGGACTACGGTCCGCGACGAATCGCCGATCCTTGGCCTACTCATGCTTGCCGTAATGACTGCTTCGCGGTTCGGGATATGACAGCTGCGGCATGGCCGCCCGTCAGGAGGGCTTAATACGGCAAATCCGAGCTGTTTACCCGGTTATGATGACCGGATCATGCACGGGAGAAGAGTGAATTGGTGTATCTAGCGGCAGAAGTGCGCCGAATCCGAACCACCGGCGCAGCCTCTCTTGGCCCCGCCTTCTGCGGTTGTGGTGCAGGCATGTCAGGATTCGTTTTCGATGGAGTTTGGGTCGCAGGGCTTTTGTACGAGCTTGGTGTTAAGCTCGAGCTTAAGGCGGGTACCATTGAGTTCCGGAATGTCACCTTTTTAATTCCCGGAGCAGTGGCCGGCAGCTCTCTCATCATGGATAACATGAGCTTCGTCATCGAAGGAGGATTGACAGTTGCCTTTGTCGGGCCAACCGGTGCCGGCAAGTCGACTATATTATCCTTGATAGCACGCATGTTTACTGCGACATCTAGTTAAGTTCTCATCGGAGACCAGGACATCCAGAAGGCCAGGCATAGCTCGTGAGTTAAGAGCCCCCCGTTCGAAGCAAGGAGGATTCCCATCCGTGCGTTCTCGCTGACGAATATCGTGCTTAGCGTCATGGAGTACGTCCTATTTATGCCCCAACATTCCCTTATGTTCAACAGCATAATCAGACAGAACCTTACGTACGGAAAACCGGATGCTACGGACGAAGAGATGCACGAGGAAGGTCGGAATGCGGCCATCCACGATACAATCATGCAACGAGCACAAAATTACGACGCAGCGATTAGAGATGACGGAAAGTGAGTTCGACCCTGCTGCCGCCGTGGTGAGGCTGCACAACCTACCCTGAACTTCAGCTAATGGCCTTCCGTCTCGTGGGTTTCTGGAGGGTGGAGAGCGCCAGCATTTGGGGTTTGCCCGGGTGGGGCTCATGGGACAAACAACAGGTATCTTTCTCTTCGACGAAGTGCCGAGTGCTCTCGACGCAGTGTCAGAGGCCTCCATCCGAAACCTCATCCACAAACTGTTTGCCAAAGCATGAGTGTGTTTGATGGTCAAACTTTTCAACATTTCGACCCAAACACCACTTTTTTTCGACTTGTGTCCAACTGTCGCCCCAAAGTGTGTTCGATGGCCAAACTTTTGGACTTTGCGTCCCAAACACCGACTTTTTGGCAACTTTGGTCCAACTGTCGACCCAAACACCACTTTTTTTCAGCTTGTGTCCAGCTGTCCCCCCCAAAAGTAACTCTTCGTGCTCCTTGAGTGTGTTTGAGTGTTTGATTGACAACCTCTGGGACTTTTGCAACTTTGGCCCTTGGGGAAAAAGTTGTAGCTGGACATTAATGACTAGCGATAATGGATCGGCAACGGAATGGCAAGGACCGGTCCGGGCCCAGCGGCGTCCTCGACTTAAATCCTGCGATAAGCCCGCGGAGCAGTTTTCTCCACGTACTTGGACAAGCTTGACAACAATCCTCTGTGGTGGAGCGGTACTTCACCCGTAGTATGTATATAGATTTGGTCCGAGAACGTTGCCGGCGTAGGTCCCACTGCCGCCGATAGATGACAACAAGGCGACAGGTGGCGTTCGCGGAGGCATCGCAGATGCTTCCACTGTCCTCGACTTGGTCAACGAGGGCCGAGGCCAGCTAGCCCTTAGGCTCGGCGAAAAGATGGACGACTCTGGGTTGTCGCCATCGCCCTGGATCTGCGGGTGAGGCGTCGACGGGAATTGAATAGATGTCCTCTATAGGGCTGGGGATGGGGATGGGGCGGGATCGAGGCCGTGATCTCGTCCAGCTGCTCGTTGGGGAAGACCAGTGGCAGGACTCGGAGCAGGGACGACTCGAAGCTCGTAGAGCCGGCCTTCCAGCACGTCGATGTGTCCTTTTACCGACCGGACCCCGGACACGCCCATGGCATCTCGTGGTCCAACAAAGGGTACGTTGGCGTCGGTCACAAGGACGTGGAGGAACTGAACTGGGACCGCCAGAACAGCGCCAAAAAAAACCTCTGGAAAATTCGTGAGTGCTTTTCCAAAGAGTCAAGGGGCCTTCATGTAGGGTGGTTCCGTAACTGGACTCACTGAAATGAATCTTGCTTGCTGCGTATCACGACGACGCCCACCTATGCATGCGCTTGGCAATGCAAAGGAGGAGGATGAAGAGGGACGGCAAGAACCAACAGCTGCGGCTGCTGTCAAAGACAAGCGTCTATCAACATCTACTCCCAATCTGCAGGGATACAGCACGGTACATGGACAGCGTAGCGTAATAAGCGATGTTGCCGCCGCAGTATTCGAGACGATTGGCGAGATGAGGGGACCGGTTCCGGGAGTCGTAGTAACGACGCAGACATTGCAATGCTCGCCAAACCGCAGAAAGAGCGGCATTGCTCGAATGTTCCGCGACTCGGGTGGTCGGACCAATCTGTAGAGGTACTTTGAATATCATGGCCGAGGATACCATCAGGGTTATCATGGACAAGCGTCAGTGCTGGAGTGTTCACCTCGTACGCCTCGCCATTGTGAAGAATCTCGATCTTTGCTGCATCATTCAACGAAGGTATGCCGTCGGTGCTTGGTGAGATAGGAGGAGGAACCGCTGGCTGGAACGAGGAAAGAGGCCGCAATGGCCTGAGAGTCGTACTGACTCAATTGTCTTGATGGCGTGTGTGCTGCTGTGTTGGGCCGATCTCTGAGGTCTCTGGGAAGGATAGAGAGGGAGAGCTACGTCAAGTGCAGGAGAAGTCGGTGGGCAGGCTCATCCCAATAGGGGAAGAGGTGCTGGAGGCTAAATATCTTGTAGCTAACTTGATGAGTGGGTGAGTCTGCGTCGAGGATAGGAGTGTAGAGAAGAAAAGACAAAGTAGAATGTGCGAGAAAAGGGAAGGAGGCAATGCCTGGACGTCCACGTGCATGCTGGGCACGTGTGCACGTGTATGCTATGCAAACTGCGCAGGCAGACTGTGCTGCTTGGTAACTGCGGTACTTGCTGTCCAGCTGTTGTTCTTGTGCAGCTTTGTTTGCTACGCAGCCGTTCGTTCCGGGGCTTGCTGTGCAGTCATTGTTCCTGTCCAGCTTTGTTTGCTGTTGAGTTGTTGATCCTGTGTAGCTTTGTCTGACCCGCAGCTGGTCGAACAGGATCGACTTCAACATACTCTAGATCCAGAAACCTTCGAAAAAGGCACCCGAGCCATCAAGAAAGGGCTTGTAGTTGCAAAGGTTGCGAGATGAGCGAAGCCGAGACTATTGAAGAATGAAAATACTGCTTCGGCCGCTACGACCGCGGTATCGACATCTTCGGGTCCCCCCCCCCACTAGAACAGGATCGGCGAGGATAGTGTGCTTTGGCTTTCCTACGGCAGCAGACGATTTCTTTACTCCCTTCGACTACTTTACTACTCAAGATTAACCCCCCTACTAGACCTTCTACGAAAGCTCCCTATCTATTGGCGATACCCCTAGCTCCTCGCCTCCCCTGAACGAACCTATTATCGACAAAGTGATACCCGTTTGCGGGGGAAAGGGTAGGCTACAAGCCGTTTACGAAATGGATGTAGAAGGGTTGGGAGAGAGAGCGTGTCCGCGTGTGTCCACGAGTAAGTTGTACCTGCTCCGACCAGATCGTCCCCATCGCGGCCAGTGCCCACGAGTCGATCAAGTTGCAGAAGAACGGAAAGTTGAAGATCTACCCCGGCGGGGGCGCATCCGTTGCCCAACACCGTCCCATTCCGGGAATTGCTGGATCCCGAGGCCAAGGCGTTGCTGCCTCAGGAGGAGTGGAAAAAGGTTTTTGAGATCAAGCACCTTGACCCCAAGACGCCATTCATCACCACTTGCGGCACTGGGGTGACCGCAGCCGGATCTGCAGTTCATTGCCCGACGACGCCCTGTCATGAACAAGGCTCTGGCCCGTCCAGAGCTCGTAACTGGCATTCCCTCTAATGCCGACTCCTCGTGGTAATACAGGACGTTTCCGAGGTTGGTGGCCAAGGGGAAAAAAAGGGCCTTCGGGGAAAGGGAAAACAGGGTTTGTGAGAACAGGATTGACGCAAGATTAAACGGCGGAGGATCTGGATGGCTACCGGCTCACAGAGATGGGCGCGACTGGTGCTGATAGATTGATTTCGGAAAATTTGCAGAGAGTCTCAGATCTGAATTCCCGGCCATCGACGGGGCCATACTGAACGCCGGGATGATGAACTCCAAATCTCTCCAGGGCAGTGATGGCTGGGAGGAGACGCTCCAAGTCAACACCCTCAGCACTTTCCTCCTCGGCGTCCTGATCTTGGTCCCTGGTCTGGGAGATCGCATCACCCCAGTCAGTGCCGGCTGGTGCCCCCTTGCGAAGGCTATGTTCTCTGCTTCGTCCGTGGATGGTGTAAAGACTGCAATTGCACCGCAAACACGACGACCTCAGTCGCAGTGGCTCTTGGACCAGATATGTGTGATTGCAGACATTGTGGTGAACCTCGCACTTACGCAGCCCTTGAAATATGTGGTCGAAGGCTGTTCTAGGGCCGTTTGCCGAGCCTCGATTCCATGGGCGTAACAGTGGGCTGAACACTTACGATTCTTTCTTCGGGGCAACGCTTGGTAGTGTGACCGAGCTTTCCGCAGTTGTTGCACTTGTCTGCTTCACGATCGAGCGGAATTCCGGCATCAGCGAGACGAGTAAGATTTTCTTCTGAAGGAGCAGGCCATTTATCGACGAGAGTAGGTTTCTATGACTAGACCATCAGCCATAATGCCACCTAGAGCGGGACTTTCAAGCATTGAAGTTGCCAAAGTCAAAAAGTTGTAAAAGTCGAAAGGTTTGGCGATCAAACACACACTCGACGGGCACTCCCAGAACTTCAACTTTTTCCCCGGCGCAGACCTATCCACTCACTCACTCACTCAGCGCAGCTAGTCTACCGCTGTCTCGGCAGGGCACTCCTGGACTTGACTTGGTTCTCGACGCAGACTCGAAATATCCTCCATCTCCGCGCATACCCGACCAGTTTCTTCTCCAGGACCATCTTGCTTTCCGCTTCCTTGCCCAACGGACCCGTCGCCGATCAGGAAGACACTTCTCAGACCGACCATAATGTGAATGTTGGTCAATGTCTGCATTGATGGAGTTCGGCTGGACTTTCTCATTCGGCCCAACCGTTGAGATGGAGGGGTTGTCGATGCCTTTGACACTCTTGGTCAACGCGGCGAGCGAGGTCGTGTCGAAGATGTCGGTACGGTCCTCGCCACTAAGGTGACGAACATCCTCCGAGGATGAAGGCGCTTTCACAAAAGGCTCAACCAGCAAAACTGAAAAGGCCAGCACGGCGGTCAATACGATTTCCACTTCCACGAGCTTAACCAGCAAGATCCCCCTCGAGTCCTTCGGTGGCTTCGTCCACCGCGTGAGCCCCAAGGCTGTGCTGGAGACTCCGCCGGAAGAGCGAGAAGCGTTGTCTTTTTATTTTTCACAACCCCGCGTCCTTGAGACTTCGCTCAATGGCCTTCTTGCGCGGCGCGTCAGGCACCAACAACTTCTGCTCCTTCAAGACGGCTCCAGGAGTATCAACAGCTTTGTAAAAACTGCTCGCTGCTCCCTTCTCCTATGTAAACATCATAGTGCTCAAATTAGCTTTTCGACCGTGTTCACGGACCGCGCCCTGCAGGAGCGCGTCAAGTTGTTCCTGGGAGCTGCGGCACAAAAAGTGCCAATGTTGCGGACGTGGAGGGTCTTCTCGAGGACGAAGAGGAAGAATTCAAAGCCGGCATACGCAGAACGCTCATCCCTATTGAATACAACGCCTCGACGACTGCGGGAATCCTGGAATGTGGTCAGCAGCGGCTCGGAAAGCATCGAAGTCTTTGTATATTTCAATGTATGACACTGGCCGAGCGCGTGCCAGTTTTAATAAAAGCTATCCGGTCCATTACCAAAGCAGCAGTTCAGCTCTGGCGACAAGTGCTGGTCGAATGGACGGCTTTCCGATCCAGCATGCCTCCAAGGCTGCTCCAGATGGAGGAAACATCGAGTCCAAGTGATGTCACTCTTTGGATCTGACCGCATATCTTCAGGGAAGGAGTCAGGACTATGGCCGCCTACACCAGCTTCATGGCCTTCGCAGCCTATGGCACGATATCCTCTGCTGTCCTCCGAGTCTTGGAACTACATTTTGCACACGCTCAATGGACGACGGCGAGGTATCCAAAATCTATGTCTTGCCTTCTGACAGGTTGACTTTGGCTCCTCGACTGCCTTCGAACGCTCATGTCTGGTCCGAGCTGACCAGAGTGGATCTCAATAACCCGACTCTGAGCGCCATGAACATTATGCATACGACTATCTTCGCTCTCGCTTTCTTGACGTCCATTGGCACGTACTCGTGGTCATTGTCGGTGACACGTAATGGCTGCACAGATTTGACATTTGACGTTCGTGTTCATCATCCTCGTCAATCCCCACTCTCGCCGTTCCGCTAAAAAGAAGAGAAAAATGGCAAAATCCCGATGCACCAGAAGACGGATGTGGTGATACCTGCTCAAGCTTGCGTCAGTGGTAGCCTGCGAACAGAACAACAGGGCCCTGACCTTGTCAACAAGACAAGTCGCTGGCGAGCGAACTCGGGCCCACCATCTTCGTCAGACTGTGCTTTCCCTTTCAGATGGTTAGGCCCCGTTCTCCATCACCCAGACAATTTTCCGTCGATGATGACTGTCGCTCCAAATAGATCAAGGGCCAACTAGTCGGCAAATCACGTCAGGGTCAACTAGCTCGTCTCAACGGGGTCGACTGGTCAGGGTCCCACCACCGGGGTTTCCTCCGCTGAGTCACAAGTCTCCTGTCTCTTGCTATTGGAAGGTCTTGGCTTATACTACAGCCCGAGCGAACTGTCATTCTTTAATCGGACACTGTACTTCCACTGGGGCGGTTTTAAGTAGCCAGCGTCCAGATGCGATACGTACGCGTCTGGTTGTAGAGTGCTTGACGCGTCGCAGAGAATCTGATCCTACGGGTACACCTTTCGGATCTCCTCGAGAGCCTTCTGCTGGATTTCGGGCCGCTGTGCAAGAAGCGCCACCCCAAGTACGCGCTCAAGATCACAGAAGAGGAGGACGGGCAGCTGACAAAAGGAGGGTAAGGGGGGCTCGGCTGGGCAAGTATGGATCGCTTCGGACGAGAGGCAGTCAAGTCAGTAGCCGATCCCAACAAAGATGTTTTGTGGGTAAAAGACGACGAGGAAACCCGCGACCGCAAGAATCCGCCTGGAGAAGTACACCGGTTGAACAGACTCGTTCTCTTCTGGGTGATTTCGTCTTCGAAACACACGTTCTCCGCTGTCAGATCCTGGATCTTCGTCTCTGTACCCAAACTCGATGGATGGGCCCAATGGCGGAAAGCCGACCAGCAGCACACAGAATACCAACCCCAAAATCTCCTTTACAACGAAATGTCCACGTGGACCAGGCAAGGTCGAGAACCACAATCACCTAAGCCCAACAAACATTCCACAGAAGACTCGCTGAAGGGCACAACCAATGGACTCGAAGTATCGCGCTTGTTGAGGAGTTCGAAAACCTCTTTCATCGCGAAGGACTTGACTATCCCGTCGAAACCCAGTCGGACTGGATACTCCATCATTCAGGAGGTCAATTGATCGTAGAGTCGTTTCAATTGGAAGATTGGAAGATTGGAGCCGAGCGCAAAAGACGCTCGGCGTCTCGGCTTGCACTGACAGCACCCACCTTTGTTTTTCCCTCACCTTGAGTCTTGTTTTGATTCTCTACCTGGTTGCGATTTAGCGCTTCTGGTCGCCCGTCGCTCTGCCGCTTCTCGATGCGCTCTTCGTCGGTCTGCCCACGATGAAGGCTGTTTCTCAGGAGGCATGCTTCTGTTCTCAGATCAATCTCTCCGTGTCTAGTTGAGCCTTCTTCCCGCTAAGTCCCTCGTAGGCATTTAAGAAACTGTTTGAAGGCCAGGAAAAGGTAGATGCGGAGAAGCCCAAGATCTGAAATTCAGGGCCTGGTCGACCCATCGCCAGAGCGCAGGTTCAGATGCGGAACGGCTTGGTATAGTCTAGCCGGCCGAGTTGTTGTATTCGCCGAAAGCCCAGAATTATGTCGGGTACTCTGCCGGTCTCTCTAGCCCGAGCGAACTGATGCCAGAGACAAGAGGAGGGGATGAGACGACATTATGGAAGGCGGAAGTAGGCGATCCATTCAAACGGATATAATCATCACGAATTGCGTGGGTCTTGCTGAACTCGTTCTACCTCTAAGTCTTCAGCGCTGTCAAGCATTTGAACTCGGGCTCCGTCGTCGATGATGGCGATTTTGATCTCTTCTTTCAGCTGCAAGCCGTTTGCCGGCTCTGAGATCACTGCCTGGCCAGGAATCAAGCATGGGCAATACCACAAGTGGCGATTGGCCTCCGTCCCCCCTCGAGTCTATTAGCGCAGCAGCGAGGCCGAAAGATCCAGGAGGTCAAGACACACGCAAGGACTAGAAAAGGACTGATCAGTTCTGTTTCCCCGAGTTGCGCAGATCCAGCTGAGGGGCAGCTTTACGTACGGTCAATCTGGTACGTTGGGCATTGATAATGAGAACTTGTGAGACACACTGCCAGCCACGGCCTAGGCTGGTCAATGGAATGGGTTGCTGTTGAGCTGCCTTACAGCAGCTACCTCGGAGTTGTAGCAGCTCGCACCAAGTTGACGCAGCTTTTCCGCAGGTACCCTAGATGCTGAACAGCCATTCCGAGACAGCTCTGGGATGAGCGCAGTGTAGCTCCAAACGCCCTCTTCCACGGCATGGTCGCCCATCATCCACCCTCCGCGATGTGCGACGAGCATAGGCGGCGCGCGGTTCCCTTTCTTGCCCGTAGCCTTCGATTTCTGCGTTATCATTTGAGCTTGGGCAAGCACAGAGGTGACGAACAGGGATGCTCAAGTCTGTGCGGATCTTTGTAATCGTTTTCATATCAGATCCGCCCTGCTTGGTTGCCGGGGGGTCAACATCGAGGCTGCTGACGTGGCTGGCGGCAAGTAAGGGCATGAGCACACCGAACGCCTCCACTAGAGGCTGGACACCATTGACACAGGATAACAGACGTGACCCGGACTGAGAACCACCCACACCGACGACGACGCTGGGTTGGAAGCCACCTAGTATTCTACTTTGTCCAAGAGAAGAGTTGACAATACAGGCGACTTGAGTATAGATGTCGTAAGAAATCGCGTCATCAGGAATGAATAGACCCCCATAACGTGCCGGATCCCACTGCCTCAATCCCTGTGGGTTGGCGACTTGTAAGCCATAAAGTCCAACAGGCTGCGCGGAAATCAGGATGTAGACGGCACCATCTTCGTACAAACCCGGTGTGTCGCCCCCGAACGAAACCTCGTATCCAAAAGAAACGTTGATCCATTCGAGAACGGTGATCCCATTGAACTTCTTCTCGTCAGTTGGACGGTGCACCAAAATCCGAGTCCTGTAGGCACTTGTGTTTGTCGTTTGGAGAGTCCATCGACCATCATCGGTGAGGTTGCATACCGGCTGATACCTCGTCGCCGTGCCGCTAATGAAATACTCTTCCTCGACATACCCGATCGATCTGATGTTTCCATAGTAGGAGGCAAATGGATATCCTCTCCGGAAGCCGACAATGGGACCTTCGACTGTCGGCAGAGTACTGTGTTGCTCCATGTTGCCCCCTGCACGGCGGAAAGAAAGCGGTGCACCACACTGCTGCTAAGAAAGGAGGAAGCTCTTCATGATGTAAATGGTCGTGAGCCAATCTCCAAAGTTCCAAAGCCTCGCAGGGGAACAGCAGTACATATATTGTCACTTGCTCCAGCAGAGATGGTATGCAGAATACGCCTTACAACCCCTCTCCCGGACATGTGTAAAGGCACCAAACGCCCTCTTAGGAGCACCAATCTCAGGCCTTGAGGATAAGTTCCGCTTTTGCTTGCTGTAGCTGAGGAACCGACAAGCTCGAGTTTGAACGGATTCTCCTTAACCGAAGAGGCTTGATTGGCTAAACGGGATTATAATCTAGGCCTAAGGTAGTAATTTTTCCGACAAGTGCATTAAATTTCCCCACCATCAAGCTCAAGGAAAACATTCGTCACCGCATCCCCAGATAACCTAAAAGCTCAAGGCTTTGCATGGCTAGCGGCTCTGGAGTCGCGCGGGGGAACACTGCGCTGACTTCGAAAATTCTCGCTTCGCAGGTGTCTCCCTCTTGTGCTACGTAACATCATGAACCTAATGCAGAGAAATAAACCAAGAGAACCTCGTACAGAAACGAGTCTCGCCAGATTGGGACAATTCTGCTGCCAATGTCGTGGAGATCCCCTTTTAAGCCATGTCAGTTCCATCTCAAGTCATTTTTTGACACTAGTTAACGAGCTTCACGACCAGCTGTCGTCGCCTTCGGCCATAGATACCCAAGGAATTCAGGTTTGATAGAGAGGCGGAAGTGTCTTCTTGACAAGTCGGACGACGTTCCCAAACATTTGCAGGGTGGAGTACGCCCATCAATTCCGCAAAATATGCAAATATTCCGCATAGCCTTGGAACTGACCTGGCTGTGGAACTCCATAGGTTTTTGCTACCCCGCGGTCGAGACCTGGAGGGAGTGGGAGACCCTTCTGTGTCCTGAATTCATGCCAGAAACGGTATAAAGTAGAGTTCTGGCTGTATCTGACGGTATCTGTACAAAAGAGTCAACCAAAGTGATCCGGCTTTACCAGTCTCTTGCTCCTTTGAGCAGTACAAGCCACAAATTGCCCGCAAGTTTCACAGAACATCGCCTAACTATCATGGCAATCTTCAAGTTGCCCGCCGGTCTCATCACCACCTGTCTGACCACGGCCATTGCTATGAAAATAATGCCTCCGACCGCCGAAGGACCGATCAAGGTCGGCGCACGAGGACACCCATTTTGCGGGTTTCCAGGCAACATGTCCACCCTGGGGTACCTCAAGGAGGAGTACTTCATTAGTGGCATCGCTAATCGCTACAATGTCGCTGTATCCGCACAGAGTGCAGGCCTGGACTGCCTCGGCGCCAATCCCATTGGTCTCACGGAATGGGATCCGCAGCGGTACGGAACACTTCGCGTTCCAGACGATGCGCTGTCTTACGATATTTTCACTCAAGCAGCCCATGTTTTTCAGTCGGGCCAGATCGCTGGAGTCGAGCCAGAAAAGCTCATAGCCGTGGGCGCATCGCAATCCGGAAAGCGCGTGCTGGCTTACGTCAATGACATACAGCCCATGGGCAGCACATTTGACTCAATTATCCCCGTTGTCTGCACCGGCAACGCGGCGAATTTCAGCCCAGTGCCTGCAGCTCGGACACCACTCAGCGCGAGAGATGCGTGATCACGAAATCGAGGACGGATAGCAAGATTCCAATCTTCGAGTTGAATTCCGAGACCGAGGCTCTTACGTACTTCCTCTAGGGGACGAGACAACCTCACCAAGCTGTTTCGCGAGTGGAAAATTGCCGGGGTGGCCCATGGAAACTTACCTACCTTCCTGGATCTGCAAATCCAATTCGCGTATGATAGTCTCCCCGGGATCCGTGTCCTACCAACATCAGTGCCATCGATTGGCGACCGACCCTGGATGCCGTCTATCGCCATGTCTCCCGCTGGATGCGCAGCCTCGCGGATCCGCCGACTTTCCCCAAGATGGAGATCGCCGTCAACAGCACAGGTTCCAAAGTGCTCGCCAGGGATGAATTTGGCAACGTGAGAGGTGGATTAAGACTGCCCAAAGGGCAAGTTCCGATCGCGGCATACAACGGCGAGGATAATGGCCTCGATGGGAACACGTACAATTTCACCGCTTCCCGGCTCGATGACCTTCTTTATTCCTCTCATGACGATTATGTCACCCAGGTAGTGGCTGCGGCTTCCACGGCAGAGAAGCAGAGAATAATACTCCCATCGAAAGTTCGGAATTACATCCTGAAGGCAGAGCAAGCGAACGTACCGCCTGCGCGTGGTATTGTGTCTGTTTGATGGTTCGCATTTGACCATTCTATTGACAATCCTCCGGGTGGTCGCGCCGATCGCGTGATAGGGATACTCACAGAGATGCTTGGTAGTTACATGATTCCTAATCAGGAGCTTCTTGATCAAGGTCACGCAGAGTGTTGTCAATGTGTCGGCCGGCGGTACTCAAATGAAGACAAGCGATGGCATGGTGAATCACAATTAATCGTGAAGAAGGAGGGTCAATCAGTCAAGGATCAGTCATGTAAAGGATACGATCGACAGGAAAAATCCGATGGCGCAGAATGTCTGTGTTGGTGGAGTCAATGTAGTAGGCATGAGATTCACAACCCGTAGACTCAAAGTAGACTTCAAATCCGCCAAAAGATTGGTGGAAATCATGAGTCAATTTGATTGTATTGCTCGGGCCGTCGACGTCAGTGCCTTCAGTTAGATCTACCGCAACATTGTTGAACATGTTCAAATCGCAAGTGCTAGCTGTTTCGACTCATCTTGGGAGAGAAAGCCAGTCGCCGGTCGGATCAGTGACCCCCAACTATCGGTAGTCTGCGTACCAGCTCCGTCTTCATACTGGAAGAGATCATCAGCGAATGGGGAGTGATGTGTGCTGCTTCCAGCGGGAGTCTAGCTGCGGTAAGGAGATCCGGTTCTAAGATTTGATTTGCTCCTGTTTTAACCAAGGGACTCTTCACTGTACACAAACGCCGCAAAAGGCACATGGCAGTGGCGCCGAGACAAAAAAGTAGCTGACCTTCCTGAACGGGTTAGGATAATATCCACGTCACCGTAAACAGCAGGTACACCGCAAACTGTGGGCCCTTGTCCCCCACCGCTTATATGAAGCAGTAATTCATCAGTTCAACCTTGACTTCTTTCTGTCCCTCACCTCAACACCAACCAAGAGCACTTTGCCAACAAAATTCGTTCTTCCGTCGGGAAAGATGGCGACCTCGAACCCAGACCAAGCTCAACACTACGATGTCCTTTGCGTCGAATCTGCCGGACTGACGGCCCAAAACCACGTGGCCATCTTCGTGGAGACACACGAACTTGGGCCTGGCACCGGACATATCTATCAAGTGTCGGGCAGTATCCAGCTGGGAATGTTCCACAGTTATCGACCAGGGAAAAAACCCGAAGAGGACGAGCAGTCGGTGTTTGTCAGCAAGAGAGTTCTGGGCAGAGTATCAAAGGCGGTTTACGATGACGGAACCTTTCGACGAGTCTGCGACTCGGTTGCGCCCCCACCGAAGCAATTCAACGGCCCGAAACGACTGTTCCCCGGGACAAAACTGATCAGATGTGGCGAATGGGCACAGGAGGCGCTGGAGAAGCTGAAGCTGGAGGGGATCTTGGTCTGACTGGAATGGTACGACAAGAGGCCAGGCTCACAGCAATCAACGCCCACACAAGCACGTCGGAGCAGGAATTTCTCATACGAGAGAGAATAACTCGATTCACTGGCCATGGGTCGTCACGCGGGTCAGGATCATGGCTCCAGGGTCATTGTTTGAGCCAAGGGAGCTCGGCTGGATAAGGCTCTACGATGGATTCCACTGGTTCTGGTCAGTTATCATCAAAATTGATCCTCAGGAGGCTGAGCAGGATTCCCAGTAGCTTGGATACCAACCATCTTCTTCTCGGTCGACCAATACAACATCATAGATTTCCTCTGGGATGACTCGATCGTACCTCGCAAAGCTTGTAGATATTGCCCACATCTCTCGCGGTCCGACGATGATATTCCCGCGTTAGAAGTCGGCATGAGTGAGTACAGGATGGTGATTTCGAAGACCCTTCTCCAAGTGGCGACAACAAAAGCCAGATCGACCAGGTCCATAGCTGTTGCATGAGTCGATTATCCTAGCCTTCTGAGCTCCCGCGCTACTGAGAGCCTCCTCTGTTTCGAAAGTTCTGTTGACCGCAGGGGTTCGCTCTATCTTGATCTCCGGCGGGCAAACATTTGCCGCCCCAACATCTGCTGGACAACACGCAATGGTTGATACGAAAAGCGTTTCTGGGGCGACACTCATGGCTCTTGAATCGGACAATGCATGAAATCTCAGAATGGGAGAAGAGGGAGGATTTGCACGCTCGACGGCGTGCAAGAGTGTGCCGATTCTTTCATTGCTCCCACAGCTCTCTGTCAGAATGACCTTCGGTTGGGGAAGCTGACAGAAGACTCGGGCAGTACTCTCGTAGATCCGCTTCATCAGCATTATTTGCTGCGAGATGTCTCGATCCGAAGCCTGCGATATTGACACTTGATCGATCCACTTCCTCTGCATCTTTTCCCCTGGTTGAAGCAATGCCAGGAAGTCTTCAAGCGCCCTTACCGCGCGGGGTCTAAGCTTGAGGGACCTTGGGCATCCATTTGCATCTGGACATTGGTATTGGACACGCTTTCGGTCTCCAGCTGTAGGAGATGACACTGTAGAGCGGGCGATCAGTGGGAGTCTTGACGAAATCGACGACTTCCAAGTGACGAGTCAACCGGGCTTCATGGGGCGTAAAGACGATTACTCTGGTTTGTTCCGCTGAGAGTGGGCCTGGCGAACAGTATAGCATGTGCGTTTGCTGTACACAGGGGCATGACAGATGCGGTTGCTCAAGGATCTCTGTCTTGTAGAATTCTAGTCTCGTAAGAGGGTTTCTTGGTATTGGTACATCGGTACGGTAAAATAGGTCCTGCGTTGCTCGGCCACAGAGATCCCGTTTGCGAGTTTTCCGGTGGGCAAAGTATGGAACACATTCGAGATGGCTGTCGAAAGTACTTCGTCAATCTCCTTCTCAACCAAGGGATGCTTTCTAGTTCTATATTCATTTGCTACCCGGGGAACTATGCGGGGGGTTGGAGTCTCCACAAGGTTCAGGCCGAGCAGTTGAAAGAGTCTGTTTTGAGGATTCCGTTTGTTTTTGGGAGATATCACGCATTCTGCTGAGCCTGTCATCCGCTCTGGTTTGTGCAGAACCTCTCTGCGCCTGCATGGCCAACTGACTAGGCCCGTAAGGCATGCATTCTGGCCACGGTTCTTTGAAAATGGACCTGTTTAATCTGCCGGACAGGCAATGGCGTCCGGATGTGCCGGCGCAGAAGGGATTGATGAGGGCTACACAGAGGCCGTGCGTGAGTATTGGAACTCTTTTACGGCTGGATGACACCGAGCCAATCATGAAAACCCTGAAATACCCGCCAGCACTATCAGATCCATCACAAATGTGTATATACTCTTCAGCATCTTCCTCCACCTGCATGACACCTATATTCTTCTCGTTATCTAGACCCGTGCGAAGCCTTCATCGTCAACTCGGCAGCTGCCATTCCAATACTACCATCATGAGTGGTCGTTATCATTACGGCATCCTTGTGCAACGTCGAATAGTACCCGTCGAGAGATCCACGGAACTCTCTCGCCAACAACCGAGTCATGGCCCTTCGCAATCTGGTAGTATTCAACTGCGTCCCATGTCCAAGTCGCCCTTGGTTGTCAGCATGGGCGGGTCTGAACTTGCAACTTGGTGCAGTTTTTGAACACAGTGTCCAGCGTTTGTCACATCCGAATCGATGTCTGGGAGGGATTTGCCTCTTTGCTGTCTGGACCAGGACAGTCACCAACGGCCGTGATCTTCCTCGAGAGGCTGCACCATTCTCGACCTCCGGCAGTGGCTGGCGCACAACTATTCAACCCTGTCGTCAACAATAACACGTTGTTGTCGGTATTCTTTGTATGGAACTAGATCCATATGCAATTCCCTACAAGAATGCTCCCAGGAAGCTGCAGTGTTTAGACCGCAGCAGAAGTCGTTCAAAGCCCGCATTTATCAGTTGGAGTTTCTTTTCACTGGTCTCCCGTAGCCGAAACACCATTGGTTGGTAGCTGTCTATGCAGGTGGGCAGTGTTTCGGCGGTGGTCTGTGTCTTCGCGTTGCGAATGTGTGGGCTCCTTGGTGGGATTGTCGGTTGATTCCCGCAACCGAGGTGGCTGGGGAGAAGATTGAGGGGTCCTTATAGCAATGTAGTTGTTCTCTGACAATGTTATACCTAAAACGAGTCGATCTCGCTGTCCTTGGAGCGGTGTACCGCATACATAGAAGTCACTGGTGCAGCTTCAGCGTACGCGGCGAATGCATACGATCAGGGAGGACCAAGAAGGGACTGGAGTGACAGTTTGGCCTTTGCGTTTAACAGACATGAGTCTGTCGCCCCTATTCCACAACATCAATGCCCCAGCGTCTCCTTCCCGGCTCCGCTTTCTTGCTTCCCGTGTCCTCCTCCCACCATCCAAGCCGGAACTTGCGCACCCAAATATCCGTCTGATCCGTCCGCGTCACGCTTTGCATACGCAGCTCTTGTACCAGCCTACTGCCGGCCAACAATGTCATCGCTGCCGCAATTGAACCCGGCGGCTCTCGGAGATCAAGTCCCTCGCGCTCCCTGCCAAGGAAAGGCAGGTATGGAGACGCGGCTGAGAGCGGCCAGACAATGACGGTCGCCAGTATGGCAGTGATGACATAGGTTATTGTTGCTGATTGTTGAACCGTTGGGATGCGTCCGCAAACTTGGACAGGGATCGTGTTCACGTTGACACCTCGTTTGCTGGTCGTGTTGGCCAACTGGGACGTATAGGGACGCAGCTCGGACAACATCTGGATTGAATACGCCGTTAGTAGCTCCTCAACACTTCTTGCAAGCTCGTTGGCGTCGAGCAGTGAGCTCGTGATGCTGTCATGGCCGACCTTGGACCGCTGGAGCACCGCGAGCTGCTCCCAAACGTTCCGGCTAGTACCCTTTGATGGCCAGAGAGTCTTGCCCACCACCTCGGCAACGTTGCCCCCGGCTGCTGCGTCGTTCCAAAAATTGCGAAGGGACATTGAATCGGCCGGGTAGTACGGAAACATCCAGCCGGGCGTCGAGCGGTCGTAAGGTGTGCGGTCTTTTATCGTCCGGTCGTCGTAACTGGCCACGGCCCATGGAAGGAGTGTGGAAGAGTCGTTCAGCCCTACTCGCACTCCTTGCATGAGTGTCGCCTCAACAGAGACCTTGTTAAACTCCCGGGTACACACAACGCCTCGGATGGTGGGCAGAGAGACGTTGAACATGCCGGGTTTTGCTTCAATCGCACTGTCTTGTATAATATTGTGTTTGCTTTGGTCCCTGGGTTGAATAACGGGAACGTACGTCTCGTTCGCGATGCCGGAAGTTACGCTGCTGTAGTCTGCAAGCAGCATTGTGTACGGAGTACCTGGCAGCACAGTGCCTGTGTTTCTGTTCACGGGTAAAAAGGCCGCGCCGATATAATTTGAGGCGGTGATTGAGTTCTGAAGCATCCTCATGGCGTAATAGTCGACCATAGCGGCACCGGTTTTGTCGACGTGCCGAGTTTCAGGTCGAAACATGAAGCACGGAAGTGTACCCCAGTAGGCATTGTAGGTCTGACTTACCCACAAGCTGAAGTCTTCGTTGTCGTATGGTTGGCAGGTCACGTTGACCTCGATGGCTGGAATGACAGCATGAACGGACGCGGCATTCCCCACGTCACCTTGTAATTCAGTGAAGACCAGTTTGTCCAAGGCGTCGATGCGAGGCGGCAGATTGAATTCTTTGATCCGAGACCACTCGCTCCACTGCGATGCACGGTCGGTGATACCACCAGTCACACTGTGCGGGAGATCGTATGTGCTTTCGAAATTGTCTACCAGGCTCGAGTCAAGACTCATCGTCCTCTCTTGGGAAAGTCGAGCGGACGTTGACGGCTTGTAGATCCCGGCAGCAGCAATCTTGACCCCCGGGTAGATCACGACAAGCAAAGACACGAAGAGGAGAACCAGACTGCCAAACCCGTCGACTGCCCTGTATGGCAGGGAGAAGACAGAGTGGTTGATGGGGTTGAAAAGCACGGTTTCCCGACCAGGCCTACCGCTCCCCCTTCGCAGATTGCGATATGGCTCAAGACGAGTGACTGAATCACCTAAACCGCCTAGACCGTGGCCCAAAAGCAGCAAGACGCTTCAACAATTAGCGTGTTTTCATTTCAAAAAGAGGCTGGGATACTTACATAGTTGGAACAAAGGCAAAGGCATTCTTCGCGAACCACTCATTGAAGCCTTTCGAGATCATGAGCCCATACAACGCCTCACGTAGCGTCTCCGCAGCACTAGCGATCAGTGCCAGGCTGATGATCATGACTCCTGTGATGTATAGCCAGTGCAATGTAGTGGGTCTATATCTATCAGCCAACAAGTGCGTCTGACTTGTAGCTTCGACGGTCTCTTTTGGAATAAGATCGATCTGGACCGCGCCACGGTCACTGCGGGATGCACGAGTCCAAGCGAATCCGCTGAGAACTGGAAGGCCATCTAGTTCCCTAAGCATGGCTTGCTCAACATTCGGATTGTTTGCAAGATGCACAGCAATCGCTGCCAAGGTACCGCAGTCTTCGTTGAGACATGATCTTACGCGAAGTAAGGTCGCTAAGAGGACGCAAATGACGGCAAGGCAAGCTAAGGAGGCTTGCGCTGCACGGCGAGCCCAATCTCGAACAAGGACTCGCGGTTGCCTGACGACAATCGTGCCTTTCAGGGTAGAGTTTTGACTTTCCCGGGCCATGGTGTTCGCGAGCTGCACGACATAGTTGCCAACTAACGAGGATGTGGCGATGGCAAATTTCGTACTGTTATTGAGGAGTGCATCAGTGAGCGAGGCATTGTAACCACTTAGCATCTGAGCGAAGAATGGGTCCCTTCCAGCGACGGCAAAGTAGTAGTCGGCCCAACTGGTGACATTGATGTACGAGGCTTGTGGGATAACAATTTGCGAGTTTGGCGCGAATGAGCCTTGCCACGACGTTCTATGATAGGCATCCAACGATGTACCGTCCAGAGGATTGTTGAGGTATGTCACAAGAACGTCCGGAGTGATCGTACCAGGATGGAAAGGCTTTGCAGCGTCAGTTAGAGCGTAAGACACCACTTCGCCGGTGCCAGCATTGACACTTAATGACGCATTCTGCATTGCGTACCATGGATCGCACAACAGACTGCTGACGTCCAGGTCTGATGCGGTCGGTTGGCCGCCTCTTGGACGAAGAATGTGCGCCCAGATTCTGATAGATTCCGTGGCAGAGTTTCGGCACTTTGTCAGATTGAACCATGCAGCAGGCAAGCCAACACCAGCAGATAGCATATTCCAAGCTGTTTGGCTCCCACGGTATAAGAAGTAGTGGTTGGTCACGGAACCTGGCACGACCGTGAGGTTGATCTGTGGAAGGGCGTCACACCGGGCTCGAGCAAGATCATCCACGTTAGGTTGCATGGCTCTCCACCACGTCGTCACACCGTTGCTGACCTCTTCCTCTGACCACACTGGTGGCTTTACCACGGACATTCTAATGGGAGTGCAGTCGAGACCAGCAGAGAATGCAGTGGCGGTTGCACTCAGAGTACCATTGATGATTTGTCCGGGATATTGATTGGTTGCAAATGTCGTGAAAACGTATCCATCACTGGTCCAGGGTGGATACTTCCCATTTCGCTGCTGAGAGCTGGTCACACCTGCATAAGGCTGACTTCCAGTATAGTTCCAGGCCATCGTAAGTGAGCCATTGCTGTCCACGAAGCGACTGGTGAGGTTGAAGTCGGAAGTCCCGGTGAATCCTACGCCGTCTTCCGAAACCTTGGCAGTAGCATCGACGTATGTCAAGGCGTTGGTGAAAGATACTAGGACAGCCGCGATTAATCCGCCCAGCAGGCCGAAGCACAAGGGCCATTGTCGCCTTCGAGCAGCCGTCCACATAGAGAAGATGTCGACAGCATTGACATAGTTGGCTTGCAGAGAAATAGAGGTTGGGGCTATCCGGTCTGTCATTGCTGACCACGGCATCATGAGCTTCAAGTCTGATATGAGGGAGCGCCAGATGAATCCCAAGAAAACAGCAGCCACTGTTGGCAGGTAGCGCAGACAATTGACGACGGCCTCTTGGCTAGCATCGATGCCCTGGTGACGGTGGACTTCTGTATCAAGGACTTGCAGCGACGCAACAAGTGCTGTGCATGATACCGCGAAGAACAGCAAAAAGCCTCGCCTCAGCTTTACAGGTCGCCATGGCCGGAAGCGTCTGGAGGCATAACACGGTTAGCCTGCCGTCTGAGAGGATCTTGTCACGAGACGTATCAAGTTGGCCAAGAACTTACGATTCTGCGCGGAAACTCGACTGAAGCATTTTCGTCGCGGGTGGATTCTCGCTTCTGTTGTGCTCTGGTGTTTCTGGTGCGGCATGATAGCTGAATGGCGCCATAATGTAAAAGAGAGTGTCGAATCCGGTGGTGGATGCAAGGACTCTCATAGATTTTGTTTGCAATCCCCTGGCGATCAGGTCGAAGATATGTTGAGCCCCTTGTCTTTTCGACAACGGAGAAGGATTCAAGGGCGTGGGTCTACACACTCTAGATCTTAAGGCGCCCTATTCGGTGGCGCCAGAAGCCGACGTCCATTGACTGAGAACTGTGCTTTTTGGCCCCGAAACACGATATGAAACACCCACAAATTGCACAGCCACCTCCATCTTGGTGAAGACATGGGTCATTTTTGGCCAAGCGAAACATAATACAGGATCAGCAAGAACAAAGCTTGGGTCCCTGAGTATCCCCATCTGCGCAAAGAAGGGGTCTTGCGAGGCTCTTTGAGACAAAAACCACAGGTTGACCAGATATTTGTCGAGAAGACTGGTGAAAGCCAAGCGACTCTCGTTATCGTAGCTCCAATCTCCCAGCTTCTGACAACCAGGTCCCTCTCTCTTGTTGTGGGTTTGACAGCCATTCTACCGGCCATGTAGAAACGACGCCAAATGCACAACTTTCAGGCAAGCTGCGTCCTCTTAATGATCGAAGTTTTTCGGCTTCCAGCATACCCTAGTAGATCTTGTCATGCCAGGCTCTATTAAACCAGAGACATTCTTGGACCGTTCCCTCTTTGACGAACCCCATTCATTCATACAGCCGCTGAGCTCGGTCATTGTGTACCCATAACAGGCCAGGCACACACTGAAAGCCCAATCGAGCGCCCCGTACATCCCCTCGCGCCAATATCCGTGGTTCTGGTAAGCATCAATGACACCGATCCCCAACATCGTCTTCCGATGGTGGTGATTGTCCGGTTCCGGGGCAGTAAGTGTGAGGATTCCGATGGACTCTTGGCCTGACGCTTTCTTCTGGGCGCTATAGCCTTTGTCCTCATGGCCCAGCAAGCCCTCCGAGTCCTTTGATTCATTCCCGCTGTCGGCCCTGATGGCTCATCGGTAGGAAAGCAGATAACCACGGAAAGAGTTTTGTTACTCGGCATGGTAAATAGTGCGACAGTCATGCTTCAGAAGTTGAGGAGAAAGAGTCCGAATTGAGGCTGGACCCGAGAACTGAAGGAATTCCTGTCATCGACGTTGCTCTGGCAAGGTTCGAAGGTCGGTCTCTCTCTCTACACGTTGATCCTTCCAGTGCAGTACCAATGATCCCCGTGGGGTTCGTAGCACCTTCTGGCCACCTTCATGTACGCTTGAACGTGTTTCTTGTCGGCATCTTTCCGTTCTTCCAGACCGTGATCTGAGATATGGCAAACTAGCGAGGACGAGGCTGAAAAGTTTGCAAACCGTCAAAGCCATGATTCTCGGCAACGTGGACCTGATACTTCTGCGGGCTGTCCAAGACGCACTCCCCCTGGCTCTGACACCTCAGCATCCCCCCTCTTGCTTGGCCGATTTCCGTAGATGTTGAACTTTACCGTCGCGCCCTCTGTCCCTAGGTCAGGTACGTTGGGTAGCGCTCTATTTGAAGAGTGCGTCATCCTCAAAACTGTTCAGCACGGCAACCCGAGGTTTGATCACAGTGTACTCCGTAATTCCACGGCAACTACTTGTACAGTAGGCCTGCAGTGCATTATGGAAAGCTCGTCGTGTCAATCCATAATGCCACACGTTGTCATTTGCGAGTCTTCTTCGTTGGTGACAATGGACGCTCAGTCTCTAAATCCTCCGGTGATGCGTCCCTCGAGCGTTTGGACGAGGCGGGCGGCTCAGTCGCAGCTGGTGCCAGCAGAATGGGTGTTTTCATTACGCTTGAATGGCCTCGGCGTTTCATCCTCTGCTTCCTGATCCTCATCCTCACTCTGAGTGGACCGCAACATAATGACCTGGAAGAAGTTTCGTGATTTGATGCCTAGGCCGAGCCGAGCAGATAGTCGGGGGAAGCCGAGACACATCGTAAAGAGGCCAAAGTTGTCGAAGGCGTCTTTGCCAGCTTGTCTGGAGGACTCGGGGTGAGCGTGTTTGAGTAGCGCTAAAGCAAAGTGCGGCACCAAAGCGAAGGGAATCTTGGAGGAGTATTCCTCAACTAAATCAAGATAAGTGCCGAATGGAGAATGGATCGTTAGCAAAGTCTGATGGCACTCTATATCTGTCGAAATCGACTGAATGATTAATAAACTCGGTCTTTGGTCTTGGAAATTCGCTCTGCTGAGGATTTCGAGGAAAGAATAGGTCTTGAGTCTAGTCGCTTATATTTCCGAGACTGGCTTGAAGGCAACTTTCAAGGCATTAATTTGGTAGACCTACCCGTTGACATTGCGCTGAACACTGTCAGCTCTGTACCGGTGAACGACTCGGGTAACAGAGCGATAACTTCGTCGCCACCGCGATTGATCGTTTGGCAAAAGGAATTCAAGATCCTATACCTTGCTGCATGATCTTCGTCGTCGCCCACTACTACATAGCCATTATGGGGTACCTCCCTGCCTCCAACAAGGGATTCGGTCCATTTCAGGATTTGTGATAGCGTACGAATGGTGAAATGTTCGTGTTGTGTTAGGAAGAGCTCTTCAAACTTGAGTGGTTCGTGCTGATCAGGCTGCGCCTGTGTCTGTGCCTGCGTCTCAGCCATCTTGTGTGTTTCCTGTAGCGGTATGAGGTATAGAGAGAAGGGAGAAGGAGCTTCTGAGATGAAGAGATTGAAATAGTTAGAACGGTCTTTGTGAGCACCCTGAAAGGAATGGCTCAGGACAAACTTGCCAAGTAGCGGAACATCAAATCTAGGTGCTGCTTTTGTATTTTCAGCTACATGTCCCTTACTAAAAGTGGTTAGCTGGCAGATTTGGTGTGACGGCCAGAGTGGACCTTTTGAATCTTTTCACATAAGATTGTCTCCATCTACATCAACTATTGTTCTACCGGAACTCGATGAATATGGACATCTGCGATTGCTGTATCATGTAAAGATGTCTCCTCCTTACCAGCTCTTCCGACCTCCGGACGGGAGCGGCTTGGGATTGGAGTCTCAGCATTGTATATTGCCTTGATGAGCACACTGTTGTCAAGATCGCTCCCACTTACGACAACAAGTACGCCACCGACGAGAGCCTTCAAGACCTCCAGACCGAGGGATCTGCGTACCAGCATCTGGGATCTCATCTACGAATCTGTCAATTTATCTCCTCGGCCCAACGAGGAATTATTTTGGAGAGGTTCGGTGAACCGCTCCGGAAACGCCTATGAGAGCTTCACGAAAAGGAGAAGACTCCGTTGCTCCATCAGGCTCTCAAGTGGGCTAATCAAGTTGCAGGGGGCGTGGCGTACGTCCACCACAAGAACATCGTCCAAGGAGACATCGGCTGTCACGACATGCTTCTGAAAGGCGATGAGATCAAGCTGTGCGACTTTGGGGTTCCTCAATTCACGGAAGGCCATCTAAAGCGGGCTACGAATGCCGATCTCAATGTTGGGACGATACTCATAAGAACCCATCCATTCAAAGCGAACTATTCGCAACCATCTATGAAATCTAGAAGACAATGCGGCCCTATCAAGACGAGCCCGACGAGACGGTCATACAAAATTACAAACGCCGGTGCTTTCCAGACGTCCAAACCCTTCCAGTTGCTGAAATCATCACAAATTACTGGCATGGCACTTATCGTTCGGCGAATGCGGTCGTCGCTGGCCTTGAATCACTTCGGAGTCAACGAATGAGGCCACACAAGTCCACCAAAGCCACCAATTGGACAATCCTGGCGACTTTTGCCAGCATCGTCGCTGCCTTGATTCTACCAACATGGTTCCAACCAGGTGCAATTGTAACCACCATTTGAGAGAATTGGTTTTAGTGGTAAGTCTGGGACATTAGGCCGATGTCTTTGGACGACGGAATTCAGACAAGCTTACCGAAACCACTTCTGGTCGTTCGCCATTGCACCCCGGGCATTCCTGGTTCCGTTTTGTGGAACCCAGAGCCACATTTGGACCGGGAGTAGCATCTTGGCATTGACGTTCTAGTTCTCTGGCATTTGGATTGGTATAGATTGAATAGGCCTGATTAGTTACCCTGTATTTTGCGGTACAACAGGAATAGACAAAAACTGTGTCGACTTAATGGCACATTTTTCGCTCTGGAACCACCCTGGGGCTTATACTGCTAGCTAGATGAAGTCTTGATATCAAATAGACTCCTCTTTTAAAGGAAGAGAGCTGTCGCGGTAATGACTTAATGGCTTCAATGAATCAGTAGCATGATTCGGGCGGAAACTGATGCACGCAGCATGACTCGAATATTGGGCATATTACTCTATTTGAGTTGCTCTGGTCCACTCGTTGATGGCCAAGTGTCGATTCAGGTTTCATTGCATAATACAAGCCCGAACGAATTGTATTGCTATTTTCCCCTTGGGAGGCAAGGGTTAGGCGAGAGGAGCAACGCCAGTCTCCTGGCTCGAGGCTAGATTCCGTCTCCCGCAGGATGTTTGGAGGGCTCCGAGATGCCTTCGTTGTCTCTCTACTTCGTCCGGTAATTCTCCAACAGTAATGCTTGGAGCTCCCATTCCTCGTCGTCTATAGCCGTCTCGTCGTCTATAGCCGTCTCGTCGTCTATAGCCGTCTCGTCGTCTATGGCCGCTTCTCCTGGTGCTATTTCTGTCCGGTCCTCGCCTCCCTCGTCGGCGTGGTCTGGGGCAATCGCGATACCTCGAAGTCGATCAACCAATGCCGTTCTCTCCTCTTCCAGTTGCATACGACCAAACATCGGTAGGTCCTCGGCCATTCTAATCGCATGTTGTTGTAGAATAACCGCCTGTTCCGGGACCAAAAGTGGGATCACCGCCTCAAGTTGGCGTATGAAGAACCAATTCGGTTGTTGGTGACTCAGTAGCGTCCGTAGGCTGTCCAATTTATCGTTGAACTCAGTCATCCTCCTAGCAATAGCGCCAATCTGGACCCCATGCTGTCCCAGAGTGTCAACAAAGCCAGCTAGTGCCTGGGAGCCGAGGAGGTCGTTGATCGTCTGTACTTGGTTCTCAACCTCCCGGATCCCGAGTGCCAGCGCGGTCAGCTCATCCCTAGTATTCTGCACCTGCTCTGTGGTTTCCATGGCATTTAGGAAACCTTCGCGAGTCGAATCTTGCTCCCTTGCCCACGTCGCGGGCTCCAAGAACTTCTCGATGGCCTTCCATGACCTATGGTGATTGTTCGAGGAAATGAACGCCGTAGAAACAGTAGCGGGAACCGCCGGCGGTGCCGTAGCCGGAACGTCAGAGACGGTTGGGGCGACAGTGGGAATAGTTGGTGCAGCGGTTGAAACGGCTGGTATCACGTTCGCAGCTGTGGTTGCCGTTGCAGTCGCCGTTGCGGGTTCCTCATGATGGATAGAGCCCCCATCTGGGCTTGGTGATTCCTGACCAGCAGCAGGGGGAATTGGGGGGCTCCCATCTCGAGCCCGATACTGGAAACCCCCATTCATCCCCCACCCATCCGCTCCAGAGGAGGAGTCGTCCTTGGGGCTGACAGATGTCTTTTCCTTCTTGAAAGGTCTCTGTGTTGGGGTATCCTCATCCGTGTCTTTGTCCTTGTCAGTGTTTTCCTGTACGGATTGTGCTTCTTTGGTGTTAGAGACAGTGGCTGTTGGGCTCTTGGTGATCCCAGAGGTCTTTCTGGTTCCACTTGCTGTGCGCTTCCGGGTTGCAGCTGTTTTATTTGTGGTAGACGTTTTCTTTATTCCAGTGCTCGGAGTTATAGCTGGCGTTTGCGGTAGGCCCCCAGGAGCCCCATCTTTGACCTTGATCAAGGTGAAACACTTGTTCTGCAAACGGAGCTTGTCGAAGTTGCCCACCGTAGCTTGGTGGTAAAGAAGCATGTTTCGAGGGCAGAACAGGTTCCAGTCCTGCTGGCAGTTGAACACAAGGGTGGTGTTTAGGTTGATTCGTGCGAGGATCGGACCAGGAACCTCAGTTCCAGTGCCCCAAGTATTGAGCGGCTCGTCCCTTGCTGCGTTACTGGCCATCCGATCTTTGCGTCCCCCCTTTGCTGTCGTGGCTGGGTTTCCTGTGTTCATATAATACCTCCTGACCAGATGGTAGTGGTATGTGTTGCCCGGCGCGAGGATCAGTGGTGGTAAGCTGATCACTCTGCGAGCATCTCGGACGTTCCCGCCCAAATCGAAGTCATCCTTCCACCATCCTTTCCCCTTGATTTGGCTATAAGTCCACAAGAGGCAAACGCGCGAGAGCATTCGGTTGTCCAACTTAGCGAACTTGGGGATCCGAGCACGAGCTTCGTCAACCGTCATCTCCTCGATCGTTTGGCCATACTGATCCCTGATATCCTCCTCAGTGACTAGTCTAAGATGCTGGGCCTTAGTGTCCTTTCTGCCTTCATCTTCCCAGTCATATGGCTCGTCTCCAGGTTGGGGTTCGGCCATAATGCGCTTTGCGCAGTGTGCAGCATCAGCGTTTTCAAGGAAATGGCCGCAAGGGAATGAGGAGCCAGCAGTTCCAGTGCTGAAGCTGCCGGGGTTGAGACGATGATTAAGCTGTGACGTTGACAGGGAGAGGAACTGTCAGAGGCTGTTGAACAGGTACACGCCAAGGGAGGCTGGAATATTGAAAAAAAAAATATCAATATCATGCCAAGAGGAGTCGAAGAATAGAAGAGGTGAGCACAGCGAATCTCCTTTGCTATCATCGCCAAGGGGAAACATACGTCAGAGTAAGCTGAGAAGGTTGAGACAACAGATCGCAAGACCATATAGGCGAGGCTGAGCACGGTAGGCGAGGCTGAACAAGGCTGAACTTTGCCGACTCAGAATCTCCTCAGCCCAGGCCATCTTCTCGCAGACAGAGCCGATGTCTCGTAAATTCTCTACCCTCAATGGACTCCCCACGCTCTTTGGCTGCGTCTCGGTCGGCCATCAGCGTCCTCTAGCGGATATGCGTTGTGTGACAGCTTAGCGTTGACCCTTCGCAAGTCCAACACCACGCGCAGCTTGCTCCCGTTCCAGACAACGAAAGCTGGCAATGCCGCGACGGCTGGATGTCCTAGTCGCAGTCCATTGGAAGTGCGGCGTTAAAAGACCTTGGTGGGTATATATAACTACATTTGAGCAAATAAGGATGGAAACCGTATCAGCTATCGTCCAGCGAACATTTCAGGAATACAGGACTGCTCTTTTCTTGAGAAGATACTCGCCCGCATTGATCGGGCCCCATCGCTTCGGCCTCTCGGTACTGCAGCAGGATTGAAGAGGCTCAACCATTGTAGCCGCATCAGGAAAGCCGAAAAAGGCGATGCTGTATCTCTCCGGGGTCATTTCGTCACAGTCCACGCTCTCTTGGGAGCTCTGTGTGCTGCTACAGTTCGCAGGTTCTACCACTCGGTGAACCACGTTTTTCCACCGCCCGTTTGTCCATCGCATCAGCAGGTAGCCCACATTGACCACGATTGTCCCAGGTGTCGGATCAACGGCTATGAAATTCGCCTCTTTTTCGACAGCAGTAGTTGTGATCTTGTCCGTCGAGCTCATGTCGGCAACTTCGAGACCGCCAACGTTGTGTTGAAAAAGCAGTGTCAATGTACCCAAGTCGGAGTGCGCTGCATTTCGGATGACTTCACCAGATCGTAGACGCTGTGTAGATACAGCAGGGTAGTGGATGAGACTCGACACGTGCATCGATCCTGTATGGTACTGGTTGAAGGAATCCTCGTTTTCCAGATCCAGCGCGACTGAGAGGCATTCCAGCAATTTGCCCATCAGTTCGGCACAGAGCTAGGTCATTGTCAGAGAACACGGAAAGCACTTCCAGCAAGACGGATAGACCTGATGGAAATCCGCCGCAAAATCACGAAATCCCGGCAATTCCTCTTGATTGGGCCAAAACCCCACCGTGTCGTCCTTGGGATTCCGAAAATCAAAGCTCTCTTTCACGCATTTCTGACCACGAATCGTCTCCTTTCCGATTCCCCGATATCCCTGGTCGAATGAGTGTGGCGTTGCGGAAAGAGTTTGCTTCGCATCGTGCGACAGATCGAAGATTCGTTTACTCTACCGCTCGAGTGATTAGCTCAGTCCGCGACCTCATTTGAACGAGCAGCTTACCATCTCAAAACATGCATCAACCGTATCTTGATCAATCCCGTGGCCAACAAGATAGAAGAAGCCCACCGATTTCAGCGCATTGTCAACTTCACAGGCCGTGCGCTGACGATCCTGTGCAGATCCTGTGAGGAAGTGACTGAAGTCAATCGTCGGAATTTTGGAACCCATTTGAGCAAAAGCTGTGCTGCAACTGCAGATGGAAGAGAGGCAGCATCAGATACCCTGGATGCCCGAGAGTTGGAGAACTTTAGAACTTGCCAATAGCCTACAGCAAATGACGTCATCTCCGACTGCTGCCGCGGTCACGTGATCCCCCTTCGAATAGTACTCCAGTGCTGCAGCGCCACCTTTCATTAGCGATAATATGGAACAATTCATGATGGAACCAAAATTTCCTGAAGGGGAAGAGCTAGGAAACGTTGGCGGCGGGATTAAAAGGGCTGATCAATGATGGATGGGAGTTACATGAAGAGCAGAGAGGTGTTAAGAAGACATACCATTCCAAGACTTATACCAGGGTTTCGGTGAGATATCCAGCTGACTGATACAGTCTATGCAAGTATTCGGTAGGGATATCACCATAGTATCAGAGTGAACTGCAAGTCCCAGAAAGTAAAGACGGATTGACTTACAGAGAACGGGATCGTTGACGGTACATTGGACGACACACTTTCCCCGTAGCCTCTCTACCAAAGATACACAAACGGCCGAAATATCGCGATGGCCAGGCGAAGAACAGAGGACGAAAGCAGCGCCCAGCGGTGTGGTCTTGGCCCAAGTTCCCAAGTATAGTAAGACATCCAAACCCCTCTGGTCGGGGTTCCCGGCACACCTTGAAGTAAGATTCTCGCAAGGTCAACTTCACCCTAGCTATCTAGATCGTCCAAATTGCACCAAAAGCCCGAATGACCACCTTCTGTGTCATGATTTTGAGCCTCCTCCTGTCGAATTGATCAACTGCCAACGGCAAAACGTGACTGACTCATGTGGTTCAGCACGTTTAAGACGAGATACGGGAATTGTCCCAACCATCGATCAGAAGATGTCTGGTATCTCTAGTGGGAAGAAATTCAACCGACCGAAGACTGGTGGCAGAGGCTCAGATGGCACGGGACCAGCTAATCTCACGATCAAATGAATAGCCATAGGCGGTTTTTCTCGTGTCAACTTGTGCTGGATGGGGTAGAAGGATTGTTGTCCGGAATTGGGCTGATGCCAGCCTAGTCATGAGAGCCTTATACATGATCAGGGAAAGGTACTCCTGACCATGCGCTTGAAAATCCTCGTTTCAAGCTTCAAGAGTGAAGATATTGTCTTGAACCCGGCTGAGAGGTAATGGGAGAAAGACGGAGAAGATAGACAAGTAGTTGCCATTCACAAATTGGTCGTCAATATCTTTTCGCGAAACAATCTTCCACCTTGCCCTGAAACTTCGGGCGGTTTTACCTGGTCTAGCGCTGCGGCGAGCTCCTTGGAGCACTCAAAGGCCAAAGTCCAACCGTCCTCAATAGTGAGACCGAGCCAAACAGCTTCGGTTGATGGAAGGTCATCTCGCCGCGGACCTGTATACTAAATTTCGGATCCCTCCGGGGTCAGGTCGAAATTTCACTTACACCCGGTGATGATTCGGTATATCACCGCCCCAAATTGTCCAATGTCGGCCAATATTAAATAACCAAGCTCACCAGTATTATGTAAATCCCATTCGAGAGGCATCGAAGTTGATTCTCCGAAGTCGCAAAAGTTGATGGCCAAAGTATCATCAAGCAAGAGATTGTCCAACCGAATATCAGCGATTATAATTCGGTGTTCGTGTATATATGCCATGGTATGTGCAAATTTGACAAACCAGGATGACTGGTTCTGGCGCGTTGGTTTCTGTCTCCTCAGTAAATGTTGTTGAAGTTCACAGGTCATTCGATCCATCCGGGTCGAAGGGTCGGCGGACCCAAGATTGTAGCAGCGGAAGATGCCCACAGTGGTTGCCCAGTCTTCGATAGATTGCCTTCCCAACCTTGATTGCTTCGGCGAGAGGGACTTGGTTGTCGCAGCCGCCCTTTTTAGATGTTAAATGAACCCACTTCCGATGGCACTCCATCAATCTTGATGTGTATTGAAATGGAGGCCATCTTGAGCGCGTACTATCCCTGTTCAATGGCAATCCCTGTTGCGCCTTGTCCAACGACTGTCTTGGTCGCTATTGTGCCGTCGAGATATAATAAGACTGATTCGGTTGATGGCAAGCACGAAGAGCGGCTCCATGGAATCTGAGAAATGGGGTGGGGAGCAGGTAGCCGGAGCATTCGAGCTTTTGCGCCAGGGTGTTGATGTTTATGTGGAGAAAACGGATTCCGACTCACGCAATGGCCATGGAAGATAACAAGTTTCGTGCGAATTGAGAAGGCAAGAGGATGAGCGTAAGGTTCTCAGGAGGGAGGACTGCACCCCATTTCGAACCGCGTCAAACCGCATGGATATTCACGTGATCTGTGTCTCGGCAAACTTTCAAGAGCCCTGGTTAGCGACTAGAAGACGCTAGTGGAGCTAGCGTAGAACTGGCGAGGCTGTCATCACAACATCCTTACAAACCCGTCAGTCACACCCCAATGCAGTAGTAACGTGACCGTCGCCAGCCTCACTACGCCCTTTTGATCTAGTTGCCATCGCGTAGCTCTCGCCTCCCAAACTCAAGATCAATGAAGGTACTTCCAACAACGATAGGCGCGGGAATTGGTTGATCAGCGCCTCAGCAGTAGGCGCTAGCTGGATGCCTGTCCATGCTGCAGGTATCTTTCGAGTCTATCCGGCCATTTGCAGCATCCCCTTTCAACTTTGCTAACGCCTTCTGCACCAGGCCATTTTCGACGAGATAGATAGCGATGTACTTCAGATTTAGAAGAACCCTTTCAATCCCAAGCTTCGTGAGCAGATATTAATCTCCTTTGACCACCTCGAATATCTTGCTTGCAGCAAGTCAAGCATTGTGTACGGGATTGACGACAAGACGGGTCCTGAAAGAGTATACGGACGACGAGATGGTTGTTGAACGTCATGCATATCAACGTCTCGATTTGCATCCACACATCGCAAAACACCTCAGCCCTATGTCAATTGTGCTTAAACGAGGACGAGTCCTTGGAGCAGTGTGTCGAGATTCTGGCGCAGTCCAGACATCGCCGCAGAGAAAGGTCCGCTAGCTGAAGCAATACGCGAAGGGTTTACAATACATGCATGTATAAGAAAGGGATAATCCATGCCGATGTGGGATATCCCAATGGGACCTTGGTGAAACACGACTGCCTGAAGATAATTGACTTCGAAGGTTGCAGTAACGATGGCGGGGCGACCAGTTCGTATTATGAATTGTTCAGCTATAGACGGTCGCTGCTGAAGCTTGCCCAGTCATCGTTGCATGCAGTGTGTCACATCGTCAGTCTGGTTCTCGTTGATCGATGGGAGAATCATTCGGCAGACGCGTCGGTTGGTAGGAAGTTCATCCGCGAATTGGACGTTGGCTGCGAATTGGGAAAAGAGTGCGGCCAGACCATCGCCGGTGAGAGGGAAGGAGGGGTAGATTGACTTCACCCGCCCTCTCTCCGACACACACAGAGCGAGTTGGCGACTTTGCGTGGAATTCTGCGTTGTCTTCTCCCCTGACCTCTACCGGGATGAGTCTGTTGACCGCCACCCATGTGCCCCCCCTCTCAACAGTCTTCTCATCCAAAGGGCGTCCGATGCTGGAATGGACTGGGCTGGCTGGCTGGCTGCTTCGGCGCAGTTGTGTCCGGCTGGTGGCCTCGGGTCGTGGTGCGGATGAGAGTATACACCACAAGGTCGAGGGGAAGCCAGCCAGCCGACCGACCACCCACCAATGCACTTGGTCAGCCGGAGCCATCGAAGCAACCGGCAGGGTTTGTCTCAGCAACGACGAGCGATGCGGCAACAGCACAGGTAGGAGATGCGGCACCGCGGCGCGAGTTGTGACTTGTTGCACTTTCCACACTGGCCCCTGAATTGTCAGACCGCGAGTTTGGGTCCTCTCTCTCTCTCTCTCTCTCTCTCTCTCTCACACACACACACACAGAGCACGCACACTCATACACACACCCTCTCCCTCTCAGAATGCCATTTCCCGCGCGAGAAGCGAGCGCGACTCTCTGTCGACGAGGGCGTTATGCACTGGCCCCCGGGCACATAAGAGGGTGATAGCCGCACACAAGCCTAAGCGAACCCATCGTTGCCAAACATGCCCAGGCCGTGGTGCTCTCTTCCCCTCCACTGCTCCCGAGCAGGAGCAAACGCGTCTCATCTTTTGGTCCTTCTGCCTTGACTACGGTCGGTGAGTTCTTGTTGCAAGTCATGTCCTGATCAGCAACGCAGCGATGAGGGTGTTGCAGCCCTCAGTGTCTAGGACAGCGATCACGTTCTCGTCCTTGGCGTTTTCGAAGAGTTTCTTGATGATATTCACGGGCACAGTCGATAATCGCCTTGGACTGTTCGATCTTCTCACGGTTCGAGATCCGGATCCCGTCGTTATTATTCGCGTAAGTAAGAAGATAGTTATTCAGAGCAGCCTTATTAGCCTCCTGCTCAGCGTAACTAACTAGATCGGCGTGTGGTACTTCGGATTCGTCCTCGGAGTCTGTGAAATCTATGAGGTCGTCAGGATTAGATAGATCTGGATAGCGCGTGATGCTGTAGCCCTCCTGGACGGCGAGTCCGTCGGTGTCCTCTGTCCTGCCGACGGTGTAAAGAGGTTTAGAGGTGCAAAGATAAAGGAGGAAGTGAAATTAGGATCAATCTCATGGTCACTGAGAGATTGAAATTCTCTTCGCAGGGAGTGGAGGAAGAAAAAGCGGCCATAGAAGGTTTGCCAACGAGAAGACGGCCGTAGGACAGTGGCTCATACCAACGTCAGAGCAGCCGAACGAAGAGAGCCGCTTGCCGTACAGACGGGCATCTCAGCGGCACTCGAGGGTCTCCTTCGGTGTTGAGACCCCCCGCGGTCGCCGCAACCGGTGCCGTCTGCCGTTCCAGATAGGAGGAGAATGCTGCGGGCTGAATCTCGAGGCGACGATCGAGAGAGACTGCCAACGAGACCGTCTCGAATCCTTTATAGGCCTGAGGTGGTACTCTGGGATCTGCAGCAGAATGACTGAGCGAGATTTACCTAACAGCGAAGTGCTTTATACTCACTGACGACGCTGAGGGAGCTCAGTCGTTTGCCCCCTTTGACTCAGTCGCTCGTCACTTCCCCCTTGTTGGGACTCCGGTCAGTCCCAGCACGGGGGACGGAAGCAAGTCTCAGAGTTGCGTCAGTTGCTTGCGTATCGCCTCTCCTCACCATGGACCAAGACGGCCATGGCCGCCCCAACCGAGAGATACGGCTCGTGGGTTGATGAGGCTCGATGCTTTCCCCATATAGGTGCTCTGTCCATTCCCGGACTCCGTTGACGTAGCCAGGTCTGCTCTCATGTTGATTCGGATTGAACCACCGCCCTGGAGGAGGAGATAAAAAGACCAGTAGATTGTGGCTGATCGTGGGACCTGCGGCTCCAGTCGTATGCACCATGACTCGAATAGTTTGTACACAGCGGGTATCGTTCCAGATGGATTGTGGAGGAATGGGAGGCATAGTGACCGGTCGCTTGAACCAGAGCGTTATTATACAAATGATAGATAATTGGCAGGCGAAGCCTCTGGCTGCAAATGCTTTGGGAGATGTTGACAAATGAGTTGATGAATTCTAGATTTCGCGCAGAAGAGACATAATTGTGACCACGCACAGATATTCTAGTTTTCGACCTAGTATGAGGCACCATGCAAAGTCAGATTCATCTGTGTCAAAACTCGATGCTTCGCATGCCCAATTGGGAGCATACGCTGCACGTTGGTACTTATTGTGATTCCAAACTGTGGCATGAAGCAGTTCAGCGCCTTGACTTGTCTATATCGGTCCCCGAAGCTAGCCAGCGTTTCGATAAACAGATCAATAGCAACAACCAAGGGAGGACTAACCTGTTCGTCTTTGAAGAGGGTCAGTGATTCTCGAAATGATCTAAAGAAAGCCTTGGACAGGCTCTTAGCTTATGACTGGGGTGGCTGAGAGATTTGAACAAAGGCTCAATCCAGGTCGTTTGACAATGATTGCATAGAATGCCAGAGGCTGTTGTCTACAGATACTACAGCGCATGTCGCCGTCTGGAAGAGGGAAGAGTCCGTGCTGCATTCATCATGGCGAAATATCGTTGCTCCAGCTGGATTGGCGTCATCCTCGAAGCCACCCACGATCTCTCCATCCACTCGAGTAAAGTCTTGTATTTGGACAGCTGGGGCGTGTCTGCCCACTGCGAACGTTTTTTGCTTTGGGATCCGATTGCCTCTCCAAATGCACCACTACACTCCGGGCGATTTGCGAAATGTAAAGGTCGTGGTTCTATCCGGCGATGCTCCACAGGTACATCTGCCCTCAGGGTCAATGCTGGCAGAAATCGCTCCATCCACTCGACAATCGTGACGGGCTGAAGCTCCGTCGTCTTGTCGGTTTATTGCTGCAGAACATCGGCGATTTGGTCAAATGTCGGCTGAGACGGGCCAGCAGAGGCTAATTTTTCTAGGCTCTCCTGTAGGTGCTTGAGTGCCCACTCGACAGCCTCGCCATAGCTATCCAGTGAGATAAGCGGCATGATTGATTCCTTGTGCACCAGCGGCTTGGTTGGCCACGGTAGACGCTCCATGGGCTGCACCGCGAGCCATCCCGACAACCGTGCAGCCACGACATTGTGTCTGTTGTGATATCCTTCTACAAGGCTGTGGGCGACAAAACGGTCGATCGGGCTCGTGCCAGAGGCTAGAGCGGATGAGCCACTTGATCTTGCTCTGGACGGCAATCTCACAGGCGCGAAAGGTCTAGAAGTATTCGAACGACTCGATGGCGCTGAAGCTGTCAATGTTAAAGAAGACCAGTCTCGGTCGCGTGCGAGCCTTAAAGGAGCTTGACGGCGGGGAATTCTAACCGCAAGGCCGGAATTGGAGACGACGTGTCCTGCGTCAAGACTTAGACATGGAAATTGGATCTGCTGGAAAGACCTTGACCGCACCAACATCGGTTTTGAAATGCAGACAGAACACGCACGTTAGCAGACGGTTCGACCATCCAGCTGTGCCAAAGAGCCTCACACGGCCAACAGCGGAGTGCAGGATCACAGTTACTCAGCCGTCGTGAATCATCCGGCACCATCAAGTGAACAGTCGTGATCATAAGGTATAATAAGGGGTACGCGTTCGCTGCTTGAGCATAATGGATTGAAAAACGGAGCTCAATCCGACCATGCTTAGGCCAGCGCGTTGATTACTTTCACTGGTCAACGTTGTTCCTTTACCAGCACGCTGAAGTAGGCAGAGGTGTCCCGATTTGACACAGGATAGACACTGTCACGTGTGGCGCTATAGGCCACGTCAGGACTAGCCTAGCCTGACCGCGCAGCCTTTCCTTTCTTTACCTTAGTTATTCGAGTCATGGACTCTCCCTCCTTCTTACTTCTCAGATAGAATACACTCAACAAACAAACCCTGCCATTGCGGCATCTTCCCTTTCCCTAGTTGTGGGCTGGCGTCGAGACCCATTCATTTGCGGTCTCGCAACAATCTGGTAGCAACGCTTACTCCGCCAAAGGTCTTATTGCAAGACTGGAGACAATCCTACTGGGTCCTCCGCAGCACCGCGCTCGGTTTTCCTTGTTCTCGAAATCCTGCTTCCTCGCCTACTCGTCGAATCCTCCCCCTTGACACCTTTATTTCCTTTGTCCTCAGAAACGCAGAAGAAAAAAAAACCACATGGGAATAAAAGCAGATAAAAGACCATAAAAAGCATGAAATCAAGGTGTGGAAAAAAAGAAGGATTTGGACACAACTGTCGCTACCTGGATGCCGAAAAAGATCAGTGACAGGGAACTCAAGAATCTGAACATCGATACACAACAGCCATTGCTGGGAAAACGCAACAACAGACCTTCGAGACCTGGGCCAGGACAACCTAAGGCTCAAACCTCTGTTGCCTCTCTCCCACCTGCTCCTCAGACTCCCTCTCGGCCCCATCAGAGAACTGTTGATCCCAATCTAGCACTTGCCGTGCAAACGCCCTTGCCTCTTTCACCAGAAGTACTTGCGTCACAGTCTGGAACACTTGCACACGTCAGAAAGATCGGGCCATTCCGCATTAAAACGCAATGTTAGTAAAGTTACGTTTGGACTGGATCTGGCCTCACATATTAAGGTCCATCCTGTCATCTCCTGTGTTCACCTTGAGCCTGTTCTCCTAGACGCCTTTCGACGGTCCCAGCTGCCGCCGCCGCCTGTGGAAGTGGACGGCGAAGAAAGATTCGTCATCGATCGGCTCTTGAAGAAGGAAAAGAAAGGCACCTTTTACCGTGTCCGATGGAAAGGTTACGGTCCTCAGAAGGCTCATGGATCGAACGGGATGAGCTACACTCTCAAGTCCCAGACCTCGTCGATGTCTTTGACGCACGGACTCTCCCTCGACCTCGTCGACGCTGATCATGTCACTCCTTGAACCTCAACTAGTATTATTCTACAAATTCGAATCTACAACCTCGAAATTCCAACAGGCAGTTGCTCCCACTGCCTCCTGCGTATCCTCCGGACTCGTTTGGCAACCCTCGGGCCCATTCCTGTCGGATGTCGATTTACACCAACTTTTACACCAACATCAATATCAACTCCCAGTACCACTTTCAGCGTTTGCGAGATGGATAACTTGTGGACGCCGCCAAGAGATGTGAAGACACCACACAATCGGTTCTGCCAGACCTGTGAATTTCACAGAAAACATTGCTGTCGCGGGGCGCCAAGGAATGGGCACTTCGCCGACGTGGGCACACCGAATTTGAAATTCCAAATTCGACGGCCACATCATTTCACGCTTTGTTTATTTTCATTTCCAAACTTGCCACAAACCTCTCTCCTACACGCAAATCCTGTTTATCGAATCGACTTTGCTTCAATTCAAGGAGCTCCTCTGGGTGGACGCGGAAGAAAAGAAAGAAAAGAAAGACCCCTGGGTCCCAGATATGGATGGTATGGCTGCTCAGATGAGCCAGCGTTCCCGTGATCTGGCCAAGAAATACAACAAGGTGATGATGATCAAGGATGAAAAAGACATGATCACCCATTTCGACGAAGCCTTCCTGAAGGATTCGCTCGCTGTTACCTACAACGCAGCCTTTTTCACTGAACCCGAGGGACGTCGTGTCACCAGCAGAGAAGTCAGAGGATACTTCAGCCCTGTTCTTGAACCGCACATGCCTCACTTTACCTTGTTTGTGTCCAACGATCTCGAGGTTCTCGCTCTGCGACGCAAGACTCGCAAGGGTGTCCTACCAGAACTCGGCGTTGAAAATCCGGAAACTGGTCGTGACGCTAGGGGATGGAACGAAGTCCTCAAAGACGCTCATGCTCGCTCAGTCGAAGTCAAGGTGTACATTGGGTATGAAGCACTTGAGCTACACAAGTCCATCGTCATCCCCAAATATGACGAGTTTAAAGCCAATCACCCTGATATAGCCACCAAGCTCAGCGAGCAGGTGAAAAGCGAGATTCAACGCATCATCAGTACCGGGTCCGTGGCTATCTTCTATTCAGTCAAGTTCGATCCGCTGCAGGCAGCACAGGACAAGATCTACATGGGATACCCGGACTGGGCTACGGAGTTTGTCGAAGCCATTCAATCGGGTGTCATCACTTGCATCATTGATGGTAGCATCCTGACAGGCCCCCGCATTAAGATCATCAGAGAGCTCATGGACGAAGCGAAGGATACTGGCTCAGCCGTTAAGAAGTTCTGGGTCAATGGATACTCGCGCCGACTCGTCATTGTCCCTCCTCGCATTCGTGTTACTCCCTTTTCTGAGTACGTCACGAACGAGAACTATCGCTACCGTGCCCAACTTCCAAACTACTCCTGGAACGAGGCCGCTATCAAAATGGCTGTCACTATCCGTCAGAAGCGCACTCAGGTCGCAGACTCTAACCGTCGCTTTGAACAAGAGCAACACAAGATCACCTTTATCAATGTCGCTGGTACACATGAAGGTCACCTCCTTGGCTTCATCAGCTTTCCCACCGATGATGCTACTATCCTGAGTCCTGGTACAGAGCTCCGAATGACCTTCCTGGACAAACCAAAGGCTATTGAAAAGGCCAATCCGGAGAAAGAGAACGGAACGAATACAAACGATGGTGATTCCGGCATCGAAGAGAAGGATGAAGGTCATGAGGACGCTCAGACGGACGAGCCAAACGCTACGGCAGAACCTACATCACATGAACAACCCCAAGAAGCTGAGGTCGTCCCGCCCGTTCCTGTCCAAACCCTCGGGCTCATTCCTGCCCCGCTCCTTGGAGAAGAAGACTTCCCCTACGGCGCTGGCATCCTGGAGACCTCAGGCGAAGGCCTATTGTGTGGGCTCCATGCTCTTTGTGAAAGCTGGGGAAAGCAGCGTTCGGATGACCCCCCCACCGTGGAAGAACTCCAAGCAGTCGTGGACTCAGAGGCATACATGAGCACTACTGTTCCTGGCCTAGACAATACTAATAATTTCTACGCCGAGCAACTCGCAGTCATCATCAATTTGTGGACGGAGAAACCAATCCAATTGGGAATCATGCTCGAAGGCGGTGATACCTCATACGTCCTGCACAGCGAAGCGGAGAATCCTGAACGCTTATGGATACTATACTCTCCTGGGCATTGGCAAGGCCTCGAAGCCTTGACCGTATATGAACAGGCCGCCGTCGATATCGATCCTGAAGATGACTTCCGAATCCTCGTCAAAGCTCAGAAAGATAAGCAGGAGAAGGACACTCTCTGGAAATGCCGTGTTGCTCCTCCTATCCCGAACAGCCCGGTGGACCTCATCCCAGTCTTTGTCACTAAGCCATGGGATGAAGAAAAGAAAGCTTTTGATGCTTACCCCATACGCGCCATCAGCACTAGAGAAGCTTCCGAGTATGACTTCGGACGTTTGGTGCAAACCGGTATCCCACACATGGTCAAATTCAAGATCATCGACTCAGAACGCCAGACAAAGCGTAATCTCGCCGCTTTGGAAAGAATCAACTGCCCGCCAAAGAACAAGACGCACACCCCTTGGAACATCCTATGGAAGCAAATTCTGACCTTCAATAACCTGCACACGATCGGCAACAAAGACATGTTCGCCAGCATCCGCGGCCAATGCCCCAATCCTGAACAGCACATGCAGCTGAATGCTCAGCAAGCTGTGGGCATGGCCGCAGCAAGTAATGCCAAAGGAGGTATCCTCTTGATTGAAGGAGCCCCTGGCGCTGGAAAAAGCCATTTCAATTGCCAATTTGTCAAGCCCTTCCTTATGCTGGGCAAGCTTGGACCGATCCTCTTGACAGCCAGCAGTAACGACGCTGTCGATCTCCTCCTGACCAACTTATGGTCAGTATACAAGCAGATGGTGTACCAAGGCAAAGCAAAGCCTGGCAAACGCTTTATCCGCCTCTACTCAAACACCTCGGAGAAGAGCATCCGATCCCGACACATTCGCGCAGCTATGGAAAAAGACCCTGAGGCTCGACCTAATGTTGAAGACATTGGGGACATCAGTCAAATGAGCGACCTCGACACAATGATTCGTAGACTTTTCGACAGCACGCGTACACAGAACTTCCCGGGCATCTTCGACCGACGCGTTAAAGACCTTACCTTCTCTCTTGGAGAAGCTATGTTACAACAGACTGGTATCATCCACGATCCTGTCTATACGCCCGATAACGCTAAAGTCCAATATGCCGACTTCCGCGAGCATTTCAAGCGTTACTACGGGACTAAGGATATGGATCCTGCCCAACGAAAAGAATACGCGCTATGGGAACGTGAAATTCTCAAGCAGATCCTGGCTGAAGCTGATGTCGTCGCATGCACTGTCTACATGGCTGGCTCGAAGCTTATTGAAGACGCTCTCTCTGAAAAGGTTATAGGTGTCATCCTGGACGAGTCTAATCATGAAGACCTCCTTAACTACTTGCCTATCTTTCAGCTGGCTGCTCCTTCAATGAGCTTTGTGATCCTCAGCGGCGACAAGAACCAAGTGGCGCCTCCCGACTTGTTCACATCCAGAGAAGTCACGTTTGTCAATGAATTGTCGATGACTCTACCTGCCCGAATGGCAGCCTTAGGATGGCCCGTGATCCACCTGACTGAGCAGAGCCGCATGGTACCCGAGATCGCAAGCATTGTCAACCGATTCGCGTATCAAGGACAGATGACTACTGTGATGGCACGCGCCGGCCTAAAAGCCCGCCAATATGGCCGTGAATTCCGCAGGTTCGCCGATAAGCAATGGAAGAAGAAGCAGAACGTCGTCTGGCTCGACGTCCAGGGTCGTGCTGCTGACACAATCAAGCATCGATCATCAAAAGTCAACCCTTTCTTTGCCATTACATCTCTCAACCTCGTCCCGAGACTCCTCAAGATTGGAGAAAGAGTCACAGTCGCTTTGATCACTCCATACGCCGGTCAGCGTAACGTTTACTTGTCCGCATTGGCTTCTATGCAGATGGACTCGTACATGAACGACTGCGACCTGACGAACCTCACGATTGGCACGATTGACGCGCTCATCGGTAAAGAATTCACTTTCGTCGTTCTCGACCTACCAACAGACGAGTACCCCGGTTTCCTGTCGGACTATCGCCGTCTGAACGTCGGCCTGTCCAGAGCTAGAGATGGCCTCATCGTTATCATGAACGGAAAAGAAGTGGATCGCATGAATGACCGTTCGTCATTCCAGCTGAAGCGATTGCGCGATCTGCTCATCCCGCATCAATACGAACTGAAGGCTTTCGAATACCCTTCCTGTCGCTGGTATACACCTGTGGGTCACGGAACCCGCTCATGGTTCCTGAATGGTGGTGTTCTCGATGATCAGAACGCGATTGCCGACGAAGACAAAGAGAAGGACGAGAACAAGCCATCGGGCAATGGCGCCGGTTGGGAGCAAGATGATGGAAATGCACAAGTCAATGAAGCGCAAACTGGCGGTTGGGATCAAGACACCACGGACAACGATGCTCAGCATACCGCATGGAGCGACACTCAGCCTGTCGCTGATGGCGCTTGGAACGACCAGCCTGCCGTCGTCAGCGATGGCTCTTGGGGAACTCCAGTTGAGACGCAGGCTTGGAAGGAAGAACCTGCTGTCGAAGAGCCATGGAATGCTGATCACGCATGGTGATGGACGAGCGAGATGGAAGCGCAAGACGAAAGCGACACGGTTGAAAGGAAGGACACGTTGGACATGGACAACATGAAGAAAAGCACTCAATCTCACACAAACACGAGCTGGAACAACATCAACTGACTGGATTTGACAAAAATGGAGACACCAAAAACACGGTTGGAAAAGGCAAAAATCACGAAAAGCAAAGAACGGAGTTGGTTGGCGTTTGGCGTTACTTAATGTACCTTATAGTGTTCCACGAGACTCGTCGCGGCACTACACGTAGGTCAATATCAAAGAAGCCGCTACGGCGTTTAGAGGCGGTCTATGCTACCTCCGGGACTAGGAGAAGGGCGACGTACTGAACATCTACGCACCTAACGACGTTAACTTTACCCCTATCGTCTATCTATAGCGTCTTCTTCGCCAGCGGTATTGTATCGCGCGCGAACCCCGTGTATTCGGCCGACGAGCTGTCCTTCTAGCTGTCTAACTCTGGGTCTAAGGCGATCGTGACGACGACGGACTTCCTACCCACGGCCCTAAAGGCGGCCAAGATGTCCAACATCCCCGAGGACCGCGTGATCCTACTGGGCAGCAAACGGGATCCGTCGCACCGGGTCAAGCACTGGAAGCGTCCCAGGGTCAGATGAAACGTGTGAAATCTCGGAAGTAATCAGAATTTTACGCTGTCAACTCAGACGAAGAAGTCACAGACCTTACGGTGCCTGGAAATCAGCAACCCAGCAGCGTATCCATCTTCGTTGTACCCACCACTAGCGCAGTCACGGAAGCTGAACAGGAATCTGTCTCCTTATTTCCCAATAGCTATGAAATTATACCTATCAGTGCGGAAGACCTATAGTGCGCTCTTTACGCCATCGCGGAATCACTCAGAAGCATGAAAGACCGAGGAATGGATGTCCCAATACCTACGATTGACGAACTCATCCTAGTGTCAGAAGATGCGTACGTGAAGGCAGAGTTCGACGCATTCTTAGTCAACGGTGCGAATCGAAACCATTGGAGCGTCGACCAGGCCGGCGCCATAGTAAATTATTGGGCAAAGGCATGGCATGGAGTATCAACATCCATTGGGCGAGACCGAGTCGATCCAGCTGCTGAGGGCCAGTATCACGTCGACGACTTCCTTAGACGGGTATTTCCCAAATAATGTGAAGCTTAAGATAATCAGCGCCTCCCTCACCGTAGTATAGGCCTACTAACACCTATTACCGATCGGGCAAAGTCTATGTTTTCCACAAAGAGTAGCTAGAATAGCTAATAGTCTATTCCTAATCACTAGAAGATACCTACGCCATCAGTACCTAATAGCATCCCCGTTACCCCGGTAGGCTAGCCCGTCACGCTAGACTAGAGGCTGGCTAATAAGCCTAGTATCGAAAGTATTGATTAAAGTCTACACTCTACTAGCTAAGTCAGTCTAGTACCCTAATCCCGCGGTAATTACTCCACTAAGAGATATAGTAATAGCGTAGTAATTCCCACTAACATGGGTGCATAGCGAGTCGCGCAGCATAGCGAGTCGCGCACTTTCCGCGCTATATATTACCTTCAACTTATTTCTTTAAGTACTCCACCAAAATAAATGGAATCGACTCAGAAAGAAGCCAGAATACTTCTTGCCCTTCAAGCTCTTAAACAAGATCCTAAACAGAGCGTACGATCTATTGCTAAAGTCTATAATATCCCTGAAGTAACCCTCCGTGATCGAAGGAAGGGTCGACCTTTCCGACGCGACCAACCAGCGAATTCTCAAAATTTAACCGACCTTAAAGAATCAGTCCTCGTACGAGAGGTCCTTAACCTATGTGCGCGAGGATTTCCTCCCCGACTTAGTGGTGTGGGAGATATGGCCAACAAACTACGTACGACGCGTGGCGCGTCACGCGTCGGACCTCGCTGGGCATCGAACTTTATTAAACGACATTAAGAGCTACAAACGCGATTTACACGCAGATAAGACTACCAGAGAGCCTAATACGAAGATCTAGTAATCATTCAAGCCTGGTTTGACCTCGTACGGAACGTAATAGCTAAGTATGGGATCCATGAAGATAACACTTAGAACTTTAACGAGACTAGGTTTATGATGGGCCTAATCTCGTCCGTAATGGTTATAACGAGTTCTGAAGGGTATGGAAAGGTTAAGATAGTATAGCCTAGCAATCGAGAATGGGCTACAGTGATCTAGGGTGTCAATTCATATGGCTAGGCTATACCGCCTTTTATCGTAGTCGCTAGTAAGCATCACCTCGCATTATGGTACCGAGACAGTCCCCTTCCGTCCGACTAGGTTATCGCACTTAGCGATAATGGATGGATAACGAACGAGATTAGTCTTAATTAGGTCAAACACTTTAATAAACACAGTCGTAGTCGTACGAAGGGTACGTTTCGTCTATTAATCCTAGACGGCCATGAAAGTCATCACTTAGTGGATTTTGAGGCCTACTATAAGGAGAATAACATTATTACACTCTATATACCTACATATTTATCGCATCTACTTTAACTACTTAACGTTAGGTATTTTAGTCCCTTAAAGCGATCGTACGGCAAAGAAATCGAGAACCTAATCCGGATATACGTGACCCACATCACTAAGGTCGAGTTCTTTACCGCGTTTAAGAACGCTTTTTTTACTTCCTTTAGTGAAGACAACGTACGAGAAGGTTTCCGAGGAGTAGAGCTTATCCCTTTTAATCCAGATACGGTCCTTTCGAAGCTAGATATAAAGCTTCGGACGCTAATACCACTAACACTCCCCTCGCTAATAACTACCCCTTAGGTCTCTAAGACGCCATAGACTACGTACAAAGTAACTTCATAGTCTGATTTTATCAAGGGGAAAGTCGCTTAACATTAAGATAGCTCTCTAATAGCGATTTATAAGGCGATAGACCAGATGGTGAAAGGTACGACTACTATAATGCATCAAATGGTATTGATAAAGGATCGTATCTGGGAGCTTAAAGAGGTAAATCGTACGCTAAGTAAGCGTCGCAGAGAGAAAAGGACACGGATCCGATAAGGAGGATCACTTACTATACGAGATGCGTAGGATGTGATCGACTAGAGGGATATGGATAAGTAGGTAGAGTAAGAAAAGCGTGTAAGTGATAGTTGTACGAGAGGGGGTGAGCTAACTCAACGACGATGTGGTACCTACGGAAAGCCTAGGCATAATGTACGTACGTGTCAAGAGGATAAAGAAATATCCAATATATCTAGTTCTAAGTAGATTAAGTGAATTTATCTTAGGTTAGTGATATAATTGAATTAGATTATCGTACGGTGGTGGTTAGGTGCGCGACTCGCTATGCTGCGCGACTCGCTATGCACCCACGTTATAGTATATAGATAAATTCTAACTAATTAGTGTCCGCATTAATTTCCTTAGCATTAACCTTAAACTTTCTTCTCTAGTATACCTTTTATCTTTATCTTTTAGTTCTTTCTTAGTCTAGCGAACTACGCCATTCCCTCCCTCCTTCTTTTTAATAGCGGAGTTCCGTAACTATCGAGATTATAGAGCTAAGAGTATCGTAGTTCGCTCTCTTTTAGGAGTCTATTAGAGAGGAAAAGGTATTTCTAAGAAGTCTAGACTTAGTAGCTTTTACGTTAGAGCGTTACCTCTCCTACCGCTTCACGATAGCTAAGTATAGGAGTAGTAAAGAAATCTAAGCGGTTTATATTTTAAGAGATTCTCTAAAGATAGTTAGACCGCTATATTCTCTCCGTATTTATTCAGTTACCGGAGGAATTTTAACTACTATCGTTAAGAGTAGTAGTATTATTATTCTATTTTAGAGTCTATAGCTACGGCGGGGGTGAGTCTTATTTAGGTCTAGGGGGTAAGAGTCCTAGTCTATAGTATCTCCTATCTCTATAAGGTATAGCGGATCTTATATCGCGGTTCTTTACGAGTTTTCGTCGTCGGTAACCTCTCCTAGCGCTAAATCTTCCCTAGTTAGGAAGTCTACCGGCCTAGAATAGAATCTCTTTAAGTAATTAATAGCGTAGATACCTATTAGATAAGCATTATTAAGTTCCGCTAACGTATACGTACCCTTCTCTTAATTAGCTTCTATAATTCTAAACGGTCTAAATTATCGAAAGGCTAACTTCTTTTCTATAGATATATCTATTAACCCTACGGTATTATAACTAAGTATAAGTATACTTACCTCAAATAGTTTAGGATATAAGCTATATCGTTTATTAAACTATTCCTTCCTAAGTCTTCGTATCCTATTTAGGTAAGCTATTACCTCTTCTAAGTCTTTATTCCCCCTTTTAAAGGCTTAGGCCCTTATAGTAATTAAATCCGTAGTATTAATAACTTTATCCTAGTTCATAACGTTCTACGTCGTAATCTTAAGTTTAATCGGTAAGATTAGTTAGTCTAAGAACTTAATCTTATATAGTATTATCCTAGTTCTAGCTTTAACGGTTATCTAGTCCGCCTAAAGAATAGCATAAAGGTGATTTATCTATATACCTCCTCCGTTAGTTTAACACATTTTTAAAAGGGCATTTATAACACCTTTATATCCTACCTCTACTTACCCGTTAGCCTAAGGGTAGTAGGTAGAGGTAATAACGCGTTTAATCCCATATCTTTCGGCGAGTTCTTTCACTTATCCCTTATTTTCTAGCCCACCGTCATATACTAATTTCCTAAATAGTCTATAGCTGTTAGGGATCCCTCCCCAAACACAACAAACCGGCCAAGTATAGGCGCTAAGGTTACATAACATATTAGGGGCGCATACTGCGCGCACCCTACTTAAACTCTCTTTAAGGCTTTAAGTCTCTATATATAGGGCTAGAGCTATTAGTACTAGACGTTATTACTTCTATCAACCTATCTATCTACCGCTTCCCTTATAATTCTCAAAGCCTTCACCTAGATACGGTTTAACGGAAGTAATAATAGCTCCCTTAACCCGTAGCTAGTAGTTAGGGATTAGTAAGTATAGTAGGAACGTACCCGCGACGGCTACGCCTAGCGGGGACGAAATACTCTTAAGCACCGAACCTACGTAGGAGGGTAGGGAGACATTCGAAGAGCGTTATAAGCGTATTTAAGCCCTAGTTATTACTAAAAGGCACTAGGAGAACCGCGAGAGGGAATTAGAGACTAT